TGAGGAATGGTCGGCCATGGATTATTGCGATATCGAGTTGGATGTTCATTTTAAACTGCTGAAGACGGAAGTCACGCTTCTTTCACTTGATCGAACATGCGATGTTCTACCTAAAGGAGTTCCTAACATCAGTGTAGTCCTGGGTGAGATCAGTGTGTACGCCCATCCATTTGTGAGTGAAGATCATCTAGGAGTTCGAGCAAAAGCAGATATCCAGTGCTTTCGCTTGAAAGCGTCCTACTTCTTGAGTAACGATATGGTGAAGTGTCCGTTTTTATCTCTCGACTTTGTGCGAGTCTTTATTTTTCCAGTTGAAACAATGATGCACAGTGAGGTACCAGCAGAGGTTGAAATGGAGGCAGAGTGGGTGGAGGTAAAATGGGCTCCAGAAGTCTTGCACGCCATCGGAGGAGCGCTAGAATTGGGGATATTTACAATGGCGTCGTTCGTACATGAGTCAAGATATCCAGCGCCAGAAAAGAATGAAACCCCGCCTGGTGTCGGATGGAAGGCGTCTTCTAGCTTAAGAGTGCCACCAATGCGTCAGATGAAAGAGGTTACACATGATAGCATCTCTCCTGGTGAAGTGATTGCTTTCCGGTGCGTTGCAAAGCGACTTTGTGCTATCTTCCCGTACGTGTACTCTGGACAGCATCGAGTGGATTGCGTTGCAGTCGACACTTTCACTGTGAGCTCGGAAGTAACTACAGGAAGACTACGTATTTCTATTATGGATGCAAGAGCATTTCCAAGTCAACGACCATCTGATGAAGTGCCTGTACCTTCGGAAAAGCAGAGCTCTTACGAGCAAACGCACTTTCGTCGAAAAACATTTATATCTCGTGCACCACGAAGCCGCACCGTGTCAGCGATATCTGAGGCTGGTGTGGCTAGTGCACACAATGGTACTTACTTTGTAGCTGATTGCTTTTCGCTTGAAGAAAATCAGGTCGTTGGGAGCTCAAAAACGATAATTGATCTTTTCGTCAATGGTGTTCAATTGGAATGGGATATATCGACGCAGTTGCGGATCATGGAACTCGTCCGACGCATTACGTTTTCATCCTGGGAGATGATATACCGTGCTCGAAGTGCCTACGCGCTTCACTGTACTCCACCTGATAGCATATACAATCAGTCTCATGGTTTAAACCCGCCACTCGACGATATTAACGAATGCCTGCGCTATGAAAGTCTATTTGCTGACCTGGTTAGTGCATCTGGCGACAAATTACATCGACTACATGCCACAAACATCTCGGTTAATGCCAGACTCTGCGATGAAGTTGGCGTGCGGCTTTCAGTTGGCGTTTTTGCTGGTGACGATTTGCCAGAAGTGTGGCTGTTTGAGGATATTTCGATCAAGGTGAATGCGTTCGAGATGGTTACAGTGGGTTGCGTTCGGGTCAGACACACGGTAGACTGTCAGAAGGACTACGTGTTTGGTGAATTCGAGGACATGCTTCGCAAACGGCTTCTTGCCTGTAAACGCTCGACCACGGTACTTGATCAGACATTGGCGGATGGAATATTGGTCGAGATCAACAAACTGCATCTTCATACAAGTCGTGATTTCCCGTTGCAGTCATACGCCGGCGCAATTCAGAGCCATTTCAATCCTTTCAACGATCAGCTCAGTTCAGCAGCTTCTTCGTATTGGAGACCACAGCAAGAATTGTTTTATCAGTTCTTTTTGCGAACCCCGGTTGCCTCCCACCAACCGGAACTATGGCTAAGACTGGAAGCCGTTGGTTTTGAATGTCTAGGCAACCCATTAGAGAGCTGGCTGGAGCGAATATATCCTGTGTGGATCGAGGAGTTAGCTGAACAAGAGTTGCGAGCGCAGGTACTGGATGAACATGTTGCAACTCTCAAGTTAACAAATGAAGACCTCCTTGGGGATGCCTCGTACAAAGATATGAAGACGCGTTTGAGTGAACAGAATGCACGGTTATACATCCAGAAAGTGAAGCTGGCGCATGAAACGCTGGACGGTGACAGCGGGCCTCTCATCAACGTAGGTGCTGGGCATCTCGAAGTCGATGTTTCGTTTGAAGAGGATATAGCAGATTCATGGTCCAGTATTAAAAGCCTCGACGAGGCCACGGAAGTGCTTGAAAACGAGTTCATGTCAGTAGGACGCGACTTGGCGCTGTTCACTCCGTCTTGTCGCTTATTCATGGGAATCAAGATGAAGACGGTTGTCAAGGATTTGGCGGTGCGAGTGAGACGGTTTCCCACTCCATTGATGGCTTGCGATGGCTTGAGTGTCGAAGGAACCGTGTTTTTGACAGCATATAATAGTGGATGTGGCAACACGGATCTCATGGCAGCTGTACGATGCTTCGTAAACCTGTCCGTTGAAATCACCTGTCCAGTATTATATTTCAATCCTGGCTACCTATACGCGTTGGATGAATTATCGGAGCTAGCTATGGGATTTCTACCTTTAGCAATACCAGAAGTGGACCGACGTTTTCAAACATCTTTAGTGGATATTGTGCGCAGGCTACTCCACGGTAAAATTGGCGTCACGGTAAATAATGCAGGTGCCCGTCTCTTATGCGTGGCAACGTCCTTCGATTCAGCAGATTATTTGGAGATTAACGTTCATCGAGCTCGTTTATCGTATTCCTGTGGCTCGATCGACGTTGAAGTATCACGAGTAACAGCGAAAATCGAGCCTGGATCACTGTCACACATCGCTGAGCTCAGCCACCTGAAGCTTCAAGTTTGGCTGAAGTGGGGCTGTCGGAGTGACCCCATGATGCATTATCTCTATCCTATAGAGTTTATCAGTTCCGAAAACTCAAACGAGCAATTTATTTTGCATCTATCGGCTCCAAGTGACGAAAATCTTTCCGAGACAAATCCGTTGCAAGTTTATCAAGCTACCAAGCTTTTAGTTTTCATCAAGGGAACAATTTGTCCCCCAGATCCAGAGAACGGAGACACCAACGATGGCTGGTCTAAACGTGACATGGCAGCTCGTACAGCCATCGTGTTATACAGCAAAAGCGTTGAGTGGCTAATTGCATTTGGCCGAGTTTATCAGAAGATACCGCAATATCCGCTGCCTCGACGTCGAGATAACACTGGGATAAAATTCACCTTCCCATCTACAGACATTTTGAGAATTCTTGAAGGTGTGACAATCGAGGAATTTGACTTGATCGGACTGGACGTGGCTTTATATGCGAGTGAAAAAAACCTTGTTGGTGTTCGAGCCTTCCTTGACGACAAAATCAGTTGTTCAGGCGCTTTACTGAAAAGCTCGCACGACGTATTCGCCGACAAAAATAAGGAACCCAGCAGCTCTGAAGTTCGTCGACTTTCGTTCAATATTGAAGAATGGATCTGGATTGTGCACGATGTGAATGTGGATGCTCGTGATATTCAAGTGCGCGTATGTACGCCTGAGTCAGGAAGCAGAGGAGAGTCGCTCGTGTCTATAAAATACGTATCATTGATCGTCGGAGGTGGCACAGAACGAATGCCGACGTATGACAATGGTTTGATGAAGCTACACAGTCCGCCGCCAATGAAGCGTGTCACCAATGCTCAACCTTTCAATTTTTCTCAGAGTACCAGTGCGGTGGAGGTGAAGGAACGATCAAAGCAAAGTATTCTCGAATATTTCGACATTCCGCACGAAAATCCATTCAGTTATCGCGAATCAGACAGCGACAAGGAAGAAGAAATGGACATTTCCGAAGCTGCAGATGCTGAGAATGAAGTCGAAGAATGCCAAAGCCAAGTTTTGGATGAGTTCAGACGTGCTGGTTTCTTGCTTGGTCTGTTATCTAAGGATGTTCGGGTGACGATCACAATGCTGGCTCTAGAGTCTCTAGTTGACATCGCGGACACGTGGGTGCAAGTGATTGTTACTAGCTTACCAGAACTCTTTGTTGATGCAGCAGAGACCGCAGCTTTGCTTGAGAAAAAAGAGGAAGCGACGGAAGAGCCTGGTATTGTCGTTGAGGAAACTGATCAAAGCCCCAAAAAGTTCACGTCACTAGCACAAGACCCGAAGTTCAGTGGCATTTGCCTCCAGGGTGGTGCCGATGCCCCCGTAAGTCCACACACTCACCGGTTCGAGCCAACACCGTACTCCAATGCAGATTCTGTACGACCCGTTAAAAGAAAATCTAACTTGGTCGTCAGTCAGTTAGAGCGGATTCGAAGCAAAGAGGAGGTGTCGCCACCTCGGCCAACAGACTCGAAGTTGGTTCAAGCGTTCATCATGGTTAAGTTCGAAGACTGCCAGATCAGTATCCAAGATCAACTCCACAAAGGGTCTGTGCTACTCGCTCTAAATTCTGGTACACTGCAACACGCTGTTTCATCGGATTCGAGTCATGAACGCATCGACTTAAACGTCGACGGCTTTCAAGTATTCACAGCGCCGTTGGATGTTGACGTGAAGTCTCATGCGGTTTGGCTCAAAGCGCTTGCGGATGGTTCGTATTGCCCCAGCTCCTATGGTCTACTAAAACAAGTGATCGCGCCAATCCCTGCGCAAGTTACTATTTGGATCGATCATGAAAAGAATATCATCAAGAGCAGAGTGAAATTGGACATCCCAGCCATCGAGGTGCAGGTCAATCTGGCATCCAAGAGTATCCTGGAAAAGCTTGTAGCAACTGCGACTGAACTGGTCAATGCCAAATTGGCTGAGAAGAAGAGTCAAGATCGATCTCATCTTCTCCATAGCTATCTGAGAGAAGCTCCGCGTCGTGAGCGTTCTCTGCATCAACTTGTTGCGTTACAAAAGCAACTAAAGTGGAAAATCGCTGCGCTGGAATGGCGACAAATGTGTGGTTGGGATTACCGCAGGAGTGAACGAGCGATGACTGCCACAGAGAGTACTCGAAATCTACTATTTGAGGTCGAAACACCGCCAATGTCTCGAAGACGAAACATGTCGTCGGCGTCGGTATCTTCAGTAGCAACAAACATTGGTATGGTTGGCTCTACGACCACAACTCGCTACGAGGACGAACAGGTTACGGATGAGCTGCAGCAGATGACTCAACAGTACGAGGTGCTTTCCGAATTGACTCGTTTAATGGCTAGCGAGGTCCAGAAACAACTAAAACCAAGCCCGTTGCCCAATTTGGATTTGGAATTTACGCTCGATCGCGCTTCATTGACGCTCAGCGGTGAGAATGTTGATATTATCCGGGCACAAGTAGGTTCCTTGAGCTTCAAGATGCAGTTGTTTGAGGATCACTCGGGTAAATTCGCGCTCACATTGCAAGATTTATCCGTCAACAACCTCAGCCCGGTAACCCCTTATCCAGATTTACTACTGCCAGTGTACTCTCGATCGTGGGAAGGAGACGATATGTTCTTTCGTATTGATGCTGAGATCGCAAAGCCTGTGAGAGGGACCACCGTTGTCCAGCATTTCGAGATCAACGTGCATCCGATTCAGGTGTGCATCACACAGGAGGTGATCATGCAATTGGTAGCGTTCTTCTCACCCCCTGACACCTCCAGTAGCACCAAAGATGTCCAACGAGAAGAAGTACGATCTCAATTCTTGCAGGTTCGAACGAGTAGTTCTAGCGATGGACGAGTTGGTTCGGCTATCATTAAGGCTGTCAAGGTCGCTGGTAAAGCTGCTGCACACCCTCTGAGTCTTGGACGTACTCACCGTGACGAAGATCTGCTGCCTTCTGGCCGTAAAACCAAAGGATCAACGCTCCACAACATACCAGAGGACCCATCGCAATGGATCGCGAAGCTTGCAAACTTGTCCGAGTCGAACGAGTTGCCATTATTCAACTCGTCCGATGAAGCTGAGCAGCATACTGACTCTGCAGAGCGAGATATCAACGATACGAAAGATCGAGCCAAGAACAGTATTCTGTTCAAGCGTATCCGACTGGGAGCAGTCGAGGTGGTGCTGACCTTCAAGAACAAGAAGAGCAACTTGGGCAATAGCAGCACACCCCACCTTCATCTAGCCCATGCGTCGCAGCCTCAAGCTTTGGAAGACATGCGAGGCTTTGAAGTCAAAACTCGAGCTCTTGTGTACTGTGACAAGACATGCTCCCCCATGGATCTCTTACTGCGGATTCGACGCGACATCGTGCTGGACGTACTCTCTCAGGTTGGGCGTAATTTTACCAACATCGGCAATTTCTTACGAGACCAGTTCGATCCGTCTCGATGGGCGGCGTTCGATGCTCTGGCGCCTCTCAAGTCGCTATCCACGACGGTATCGTCGTTGACTGCCATCGGGCCATCACACACTGGCGCAGTCGTGCCTCTAGCAATCCAGACAGAAGCCTCTCCTGACGTCAAAGCTAAGGACTCGGAGGAGACTCCCAGAACGTCCTCCTTCCGACCGACGGAACTTCTGTACGCTCGACGCGGCTCCGTGTCCAGTGACCACTACGACGCCGATTCCTCGGCTCCATCTACTCCAACATCAGCGGATACTCATCCTAAGCAGGTGAAGGCCAAACGTTCGTTGGCCAAGCTCTTCTCCAGGAAAAAGTCGTCTTCTAGTCCTCTGCCTTCTCCACTACCAGATCAATAACCTAACAGACACTACACCAATTAATTTCTTTCTTTACCGTCTATTCTACTCTAGTTACGCTCTCAACAGCGAGCAAATACGTGGGCCTTTATGTCTGTCACGTAGCCCATGCTGTAGCTGCCGCGACGTCGCAATTCTCGGCGGAACGACGTGGGTTCGGGATGCTCCAGTCTCGCAGCCTTCTGAGCTTCCTGTGACGCGATCCAGCGCAATGGCAATAAAACTCCGAGCACGTAGAGAGCTACTAGCAGTACCAGAAGCGTTGCCATGACAATCTGAACACGAATAAGCGTTGAATATCGCGAATTTTAAACACAATGCTACTAGTAGTGAGAGCAAAAGCTCAGAACACACCTTGCGAGAAGTAGAAAGCGCACTGAGCTCGTCAAGAATCTGTGCCGCTAGCGGCAGCAACGGCACACGACCCAGCACGAAGCCGCCGCCTAGCAGCGCAGCGTTGAAGAGCAGAGATCCCATGCTGTTAACAATGGGATAAAACAATATTTTTCAAAACATTTCTGCCACCAATAATTTAAAAAAAGATTACTGAAAACAATAATTTGTATTTTAAATTAATCGTGTTTTTTTTATAATAATTAATAAATTTCGAAATGATGTTTTATCCAATCAACTGCTTTGAGTTTCTACCAATCGCTGTTGCTGAAGTTTCAGCCAGTCACCGGAGACGCCGCGTGGTCCATTCAATTCCCGACCAACAATGGAGCTCCTCACTTTTCAAACCGGAAGTTAAAACTCGCATCATGGCTCCCGCTGCCCCGAAAGTGTACGTCGCCGTCTGAAGCCCCTTCAGGCCCCAAGCTTCTTCTTGCTTCATCATGGAAACTCGCCTGCGTCTTTTGAATCCTTTGCTCTGAGCGGAGGGTGACGTATGGTCGGATCGTGAGAGTAAAGCGCAGTCCTAGACATATACCAAAGACCCTCGTGGGTTTGTGCATAGGCTCGCTCTTCTCTTGAAATTGATACGGAGAGGTGGCAGTACTGCTGCCTCTCTAACATCTCCCTATGTGTCTCGGTGAGGCAGCATACGTGGAGGATCATGGTGTGTGTGGCTTCCGAGCCACTCCACTCAAACATAACTATGACGGGTGTGTCGGAAGTCCTCTCTTCGGAGTTGGGAAGGAGCCCAGGGCCAACCGATGCCTTAATGCATCCCGTCCTAATGTTGTCTGTTTCTTTGTAATTGCCACCTCCAGTCTCGTCCCTGAGTCGATCCTCAAGAAGCGTCGCACGCTCGAGCAGGTGAAGGCCAAGCGTGCCGCCAAGGCCGCTGCTGACCGTGTGCACCGCAAGAAGGTCCGTCAGATCGCCTTCAAGAGCGCCGAGAAGTACATCAAGGAGTACCGCCAGGTAAGAACTTGCTCTTACACACTGTCAACTATTGAAGAACAGTTTCTCTAACCTTAATCTTTGTTATAACCAGCTCGAGAAGCAGGCCGTTACCCTGCGTCGTCAGGCCAAGTCGACTGGCAACTTCTACGTGCCCGCTGAGGCCAAGTTCGCCTTCGTGATCCGTATCCGCGGTATCATTGGCGTGTCCCCCAAGGTCCGCAAGATCTTGCAGCTTCTGCGTCTGCGTCAGATCCAGAACGGTGTGTTCGTCAAGCTTAACAAGGCCACCATCAACATGCTGCGTCTGGTTGAGCCCTTCGTGACCTACGGCTACCCCAACCTTAAGGTGACCCGTGAGCTGATCTACAAGCGTGGATTCGGCAAGGTCCGTGGCCAGCGTATCCCCCTGACGAACAACTCGGTGATCGAGAAGTCCCTGGGCCACGTCGGCATCATCTGTATTGAGGACCTGATCCACGAGATCTTCACGGTCGGCGAGCACTTCAAGCAGGCGGCCAACTTCCTGTGGCCCTTCCAGCTGTCGTCCCCCAACGGCGGCTACACCAAGAAGCTGCTGCACTTCGCCGAGGGCGGTGACGCCGGCAACCGTGGTGCCGAGATCAACAAGTTCATCAAGCAGTGCCTGTAAATGGTCCGTTTGGTCGTTACTTGCGAGGTTTCTACCAGCGACTGGGTGTTTGAACAGGTTTTAATCATGTTCAGATGCTTTAACAAATCGGTTTGAAAGATAAATGAAAAGGTCTTTTTGACTAAGAACCAACTCTTATTCTGTATCCGATGTCATACTGTTTCATGTTGGTTTGGCTTGTGGCACTACACGTCGTTGACGAGATGGTGCAGCTAGTGGCGTGCTCAGTGATAATCCCAAGCGTGGTGCTCCACCCGCCCCAGCTCCAGCACTTTGAGCACGTCTGGACACACACTTCTCACACGTGCAATTACGCTGATGAATAGCGATCTTCATGCGGCGTTTGGCTTCCGCAAGGCCCAAGTAGTTTTCACGCATGTCGCTCAAATGGTCAGCAGAACGCGCGGTGGCCCACAGTCGCACTTCCGTCATTTCGTAATCCTGCATACGCCAGCCTAGCAGCAGTTTGGACGGTTTCGACACTGTTTGGTTACTCGGTGTCGAATGGGACTCTCCAACACAACGAGCGTCAATATACAGTTTAAGGCCAACACGTTGGGGAGATGACACGTCCATAGTGAAAGCCACATGACGCCAGCCTTGGTTTCCACTGTGCTCCATCTTCTGCGTCGATCGAACTTGCTGGTTCCCAAATGAAAGCACTAAATAGTCATCTTCGTCGATAACCAGTTCCCAACTCGCAAGACCAGGGACATCCTCTCCTTTCACGCCGTCATCAAGACTCTCTACTCGTCTGCGAGATGCCAACACTTGGCGAGCATTACCGGATAAAGTTGCTGGGATTTCTTCGCCACTTTCAACAATTTTCTGAACTTGGTTGTACATTTTGTAGTTTCGAATCCAAACCTCGAAAGTAAATTCACGACGATACGGGTCTTCGTCGAAGGTGGTGGCAATATCGAGAGTACTGCCTGGTCGGATGGGACATTGAGCTCCCCAGCCATTTGGCGTCAGTGTAGACGTAGAAGAAGGGAAGCGTAATGCGAATTCTTCTGGGATACGACCAGGTTCTCCACGATCTACAGGTGCTGAAGACTCAACGAGACTCACAGGACCAAAGAGACGTAAGGTGTTCTCACGTTTAGACGTGTCCAAACACTCGATTCCATCCGGTGAGGCATCACCGCTAGCTGTGGCGCCTTCTTCGAATCGCCAATAAGCCACCACTGCATCTTCTTCGTCTTGGAAAGGACCGATAGTCATTTTTGCACTTGCTGCTTCAGTAGAGACACTAGGAGTTGACGAGAAAGCTGCAGATGTAGACGTTGCATCGGCATTCAGAGTGCCACTGATAACCGACGTTTCAGTAGCGAAGATGGAGTAATTCAACGCACGTGGCTCGGTAGTAGCTACTCGAGCTTTCGCTGACACACCCAGCCATTCACTCGCATCTTCTGGAGCTAAACGTTTCCAAGCTAATGTTCCAGCACGTGCGGAGTCACTTGAATCGTCCTGGCTTGGTGGTTTCTCAACAGACACTTTAAGTCGATCGAGTGGAGCGACACTGTTCAGCAGCCGTCCACGACGCATGGGTTGCGTTAAAGTCTCACAACAGAGTAAAGAGAACGGATCATTCTGTGGGTCTTGCTGAGTCGCAGCTTTCGTGATAGTACTCAAGGGAGGATTCAACTTGGTCCAAGTTTTCTGCAGTGTATCGAGCACTTCAGAAGATGATGAAGTATTAAACTTGCGGAACATCGTTAGTAGAGCTTCATCGTCTCCAGACAGATCGAGACACCGCATAGCCCAGTCCGGTTGACCAATACTCTCAAATACAACAGCGAGTTGTCGAAAGCGTCGAGCGGTGGGTCCCATTCTCGACGGTAATTTAGCTGCTTCGTCTGAATCAATAGCCACGACGTATTCTTCAAGCGCAGGGTCATGAGCCAAGAATATTCGCAAAAAACCTTCCCATTTATGAGCGTCAAGGAAGATTGAGCTCATAACTGTTCTCGAAAGTAGAGACGTTCTGCTGTAGTTTGAAGACGGAGCAGCAACAGCTCCTCCGTCTGTAGTAGTTGCAGAAGACTTCTCGTGAGAATTGATAAGTGCTTTCAACACTTTCAGCACTTTATCTTTCCAGCCAAACGTGTGATACGCAGTCTCCAGCACTGCATCCGTGATGGAACACACAGGACGATTACTATCGTCATTCATGAGTGTGAACGCCACCATTTCACGTTCGAAGACACGGCGGAGAGTGGCGTTAGGAACCGCAAAACCCAGTAGAAGAGGCTCACATATCGCCGCTGAATGCAACGTTAATCGACTGGACAACGTCGCTGGATTGGACACTGCGTAACACAGTCGATCCCCACACATTGATACTAGTTGGATACTAGATCGATTGAACCCTGAACGAGTGTCAAGATCAGCAACGCTGCATAGAAGTCGACTCGTATTATCAAGATGATCAGCTACTGGTGTGACATAGCGTACTTGATTGCCAGAAGTGCTGTAGAGTAGCGTCTGGGATACCCACAGCAAACTCTCTGGTATTCCCAGTAGATCAGTTTTGAAGTCGTATACACGCAGTTCACGAAGCTCAGGAGACAGCACCACAATACGTCGAGTAGTGATAACAGCCAACAGGAGACGTTGCTGTGAGTCATGAGGTCCAATTTGTGGACACGAGGAAGAATTCCACTGCACGTCGACGACACGTTCGTTTGATTCACAAGTCCACGATGAGCTTTCGACTGGTACCGATAGATCATCTCCACTGAGTACAAGTCGTTCGCTTTGAAGATCCGGTGCGAGTAGATACAGCAGTTTGCAGACCACATTGTGGTATGGAGAAGCTGCTGAGAGTAATAGCGGAGTAGCGAATACGCGTTCAACGGGTTGGTTCAGCTTCACACGTTCATTGCTGGGGTCGCGTGTAGTCTGGAAAGCAATGGCTTCTCCAGTCTTGGACAGCACTAGTAGCAAATACGTTGGTGCCTTGGCTTCGTTATCAACGGATGGGTTCAAACTGAAGCAAACATCTCGAGTTTCATGTTGCAGTGATCCGTATTTCAGCTCAATCGCTGGTAAAGAGCTTGGTGCGATCACTGCGTCTTCATCGTCTGGGTTGATAACGACGTCGGTCATTGCAGTATCCACCGTAACATCGAGATCGAGTACTGCAAAGGAGAATGAGCGTGGACGAACACCGTTTGCCGCCGCATCTTCACCCTTTTCGCGTAGTTTGATACACACTACCGACTGGTATCTATTTGCAAGCACTTGGAATGGTAGAAGTGGAACTCCACGCTCACTTTTCCAGTCTGGAAGTTGGTCGCTTGAGGCTGTCAATCGACCTGATAGTTGAGAGAATCGCTGCAGTTTTAGTACTGGAGTTCCCTTGGCGCTGGTCTTCACAGAGATTTGCAGTTGTGACGATGGAATGCCAGTCGGATAGTCATGATACTGAGCAAGTGTGAGCTGCGTCGTCGTGCTGAGTGTGAGGACAGTCTTGGGCTCCGTTTCAACGGTATTCGTTGTTGCGTGAGTCGGTTGAATGTCGATGAGGAAGATCGATCGACGGTTTATGGTACTAGCGTAGACTGCTAGAGAGTTTTGCCACAGAATAATATCCGTGGCAAGTACCTGACGTCTTCCAGTTGGTATATTGAGGGTCGAGGAATTGGCAACGGGCCACCAATCGGTCATGGCACCTCCAGCGCTACTGTTGCCTCCTGCTCCACCTCTAGGACTCGTGATCGAACTCCCTCCGGTATTCACGAGCTCCCAAGCTGCAATGACATCGACACCAGCTTCGTTTCTATGAGAACGCCAGTGCATCAATAATACAGGCAGTTGAGCATGAATCGTTAACGTTAGAGATCCTCCCAATCTTGACAAGTCCGGTGTTTGAGGCGGAGCACTATAGAGACATCATTAGCCCTACAATACATCGAAAAACTATGAAGAAAGTCTAGTACGTACAGCGTAGTGGAGGCTACACAAGTGTGGGCTTGGCCATTCATCGCGACAACATCGATACGTCGATTCTGGTAGGCTGCAGCGAGGAACATATTACTACTGCTCCCGTTTGTACCACATCCAGTGCACATTCCGATACAAATCTCCACGACTGGAGACTGTGCCAATTGTACGGCAAAGAGTGGGGTAGCAAAACCCGTAGATTCCTGGCCCTTTTTAGGGATCCCAGTATCCATTTCGCTTGATGAAATACTCCATACTTGAATAGTACCATCGTTGCATCCAGAACTGAGTAAATGGTGTTCTGTTGAGTATGCCAACGAGACTACAGACCCTCCACGAAGAGCACTTTTGCGTAGGATTTCTCGAGCTGGACGAGGAGAATCAACTCGAGTGACTCGAACGTTGTTGCTCCCTTCAGCATTGAAGAACAGCCATCGATCAGTACAGAGAGAAGTGGCAAGTGCCGTGACGCGACGAGTTCCGTGCACTTTGTCGGCGTCTGAAGTGGCTAATAACACAGATTCTTCAAGGTCCCAAACCACGAGGAGACGAGATTGTAAAAGGCCCACGACGAAGTGGGGACCTGCAGGGAGGATCAAGTCCACGTTGCTGGAAGCCAACAAGTCGAACGTGATGTGACACAGCAATGCTCCAGTGGTGGCATCCAGCTCTTCCAACGTGTCTCCTTTGACACACACGATACTACCTCGACTCTGAACGACAAATTGTTAGTTAACTTCAGATTAATACCAATTCTACATGAAGATCATACCGGATGAAAGACCACTCGCTCTACGAATTGGTCACCATTACTTGAAGCAGTAGGCTCATCGATCACAGTCAAAGGTTCTTTTCGAGGCGCTAGGGACAACACCATCGCGAATAAGGCCAAGCCTACGGAATACGAAGCGTCCAAGATTAGGCGACTTCTCAATTGACCAAAGATCTGAAATGTATAGTTGTTCACGATAACTGTAGCAGTCAAGCTTATTTATTCTTCTTTTAAAAAAATATAAGATCGATGTATTATGCTTGGTTTAAGAACGTCCCGAGGTTTGGAGCTTCACCGCTGTCGGAGGTCGAACTCCTTGTCTTTCAAGTATCGTTCTCCACGCTGCAGTAGGTTTCGCAACACTCGTATTCCACTTGTTTAATATCGCATCTGGAGTTGACATCGAGGCTGAACTCTTGGCCTTCACAGCATGAAATGCAGCTCCCCACTCCTCAGCTGATGCGTACGCTTGGACGAGTTGCTGAACGATAAGGATCCACACGTTAGATGAGGCAAATTACTCAAACACAATTGCTAAGACTCACTTCATCATTCTGTAGTAACGAAGCGACAAAGATTGCGTCATTGTGCCGTTTGCAGGATACAAGAGCAGAGCCAAGTTGCTTGAGAGGTGTCTGCATCTCGCCGCGATGAAGAGCGATACAAGCGCGCTGGAAGAGCGATGAACCCTATACGAACAACAAGGTGAGCAGTAGCAGATCGCAACCAAGAATTCTAGTAGTTACCGTGAGATTGGGTGAGTCTCGCTCTTGCTCAATTAAATCACAAAGTAACTTCGTCAAAGGCTCCAACAGAGCGTGTTTGATGCACATGTTGACCTTCAGTGACAGCGAAAGACCGGGTAAAAGTCGTAAAGCCTCAGACGCATGATCAAACGCCTCGAAAACAGCTCCCAGCCACTCCGTGGCATCTGGACAAAGCGGTTGAGCGAGCTCTGCTACCCGCTCGACCGATCCAGCGGTCACAAGTACCGCGCATTGGAGAACTCTGTTCGACAGATCCAGGATGTGAACAGCCTGTAGTGGCCCTCCCAACACGAGCTTTTCATCTATGACACCCAAGATTGTTGTCGCTCCAGCAGGGAATATCTGTTGCTCATTAATCCATAGCGTTAGATACAATTGCTGAAACATCAAGTGGAAGAGTCCTCACATACCTGAGGTCTTGGGAACTGGCTGAGGTCGTCGTCGCTTACTTGAGTTGCGCAAGAAGCTTCGTTCAACACCCATCGAGACGCTAAAGCTAGCGTGAAACATCGCGTTCTTGAGATTAAGCTGCACTTCACCTCATCTTCTGTGGTGAAGAATAGCGTGTGATGCACCCAGTGCAGCGAAAGTGCTGGCGACGGAGTTGGAATTTCATGCAGATACTTCATCGAAGGCGCAGCTCCTTCACTTTGGTTCATGGGAGTGAAGCGGTAGATTTTGATGCAAGTTGGATACACGAGTGCACAAAGGCTCTGAGTGGTGTCCCATTCGAGACTGAGAGGACAATCAACAGCGAAACCGGCCAGCTTACGTAGCCCCGTCTCACCTTCTGGTACCCCCGTAATGGGACTCCATTCGTAGAATTCCAGGAACGTTTTTGTTAGGTCATTTGCAGGGTCCATTGACTCGACATTTGTTGCTGTGGGTGAAGCCGATGGAGACTGCGACGGAGACATCATCGTGAGTCTCAGATCCGTCATCTTCGGCGATGACATTGAGCTAAGACCGAGCATAAATGACTGTGCGCGCTGGACTCGACTTAGCGATGCAGGACTGTCACGTGCTCTCTTCACAATTGCTCCACCAGCAACTAATGGTGCTGGATCGACAGTATTGACGTCAGCGACGTACTTGACAATACCCAGAAGTGGCCCCGAGAAAACGTGGAGCACATTGTCTTCACCACTTGCAAAACTCGTCTCGATAAACTCGATTTCCGCATCATCTCCTGAGATTTTGTAAATCGTCAATGTCAAGCTTCTCGCCGCAGCTCGCTGCTGTCGAGCATCCGGTTCGTCTGTGGCACTAGCAGCGGATGCTCTGCTCCCTCCAAAGAAAAAGCGTGAACGCTTATTTGGCACAATGGCAGATGCAGTATTCGATCGGGTGAGCTTGCCAGCTAGTTCCTTGTTGGGCTGCGGAAAAGAGCAATAATGGATGAAATATTGCGATACACAGTCAAAAACTACCCGAACTCACCGCTAGAACTGCGAAGAGTGGCAGCGATGGATGCCATGCGAAGCCAAAGGCATGCGCCACAAATATCGTCTCCAGATCGACCGCATTAGGTGGTACAGGTTTCAATCCCACTTGTAAAATCTACAACAACAAGACACGTCAGTAGGTGCAGGTTAATGAACAAATTCATTGACTTGTCACCTCGAGGTGTCCAGTAATCGGCAGAATTGCTGCCAGGAATCCATTTTGCCAGGGGCTGTACTGTAACAGAGGGACACGAGAACGCTCAATTGTGGCGGGAGCCTGGGCTTCAGCTCCGTTCTGTACAACTTGGACTTGTGGTTTGTCTTGCGGATTTTCACCAAGAACTCGGATTCGAACTGCCATTGAGGAAGGAAATCCGATAGCTGGATTGTTGTTTGTGCCTCGAGGGATGAACACTGGTGTTGGAGCAGCTAAAAAGCTCGTCTTGAGGACAAGTAAGCCGTAACTTGTGAGGCAGCACAACTCGCCCGGATTGCGAGCGCTACTTGTGAGAGACGCCATCTTCAGTCTCTTGGGTGGCATCTGTATGTATAGCAATCACAGAGTTCCAATCAGTAACAAATACTCGTAACACTTCACGGCGCGTCTGATTCTACCGGATTAACGAAGACTCGCAGATCCCTGGACTCTTGAGTATTGCTGCTCATAAACTCAGTGAAGATAGTCGGCACATTGTCCTTCCCACAGTAGCGCCCTTTGACTCCGATTTCTGAAACAACCAACTTCAAAACATTCATAAAAAAAAATTAGTTTGGGTGTATAACATGAATGCGACAGCTAATACGTACAGTGGAGCTCAAAGCGGACGTCGAAAGCACTATGAAGCAACCTTTCTGAGCACCTGGTAGAACAACTACACTCTGAAGCTTGCTGTTTGGTAGAAGACCAGTGAGCGTGGCGCTTTAAGGTCAACCAGCAAGCAGTTAGTCTCTGATTTATTAGTGGATAGATAGTTGCAGACTCAATACTTCCACGCACGGTTTGTTGCTGTCCAATAGCGGCGCAACGTCAAAGAAGAAAATGGTACCGTCGCGACAAGCTGCAGTCATGACGTCGTGCTGTGGGTGAAACTTGAGTTCGTGCACTCCGTTCACCGTGTCAAATTGTCTAAACACGTCTCGGAGTTCCACTTCTGACGTCTTCACGCAATCACAGCTCGCAGTCGAAGCATTTAGAGATACTCGCCACGTTACAACATGTCCATCCAAAGTAGCACAGGCAAGATGGTGTAGTTGCGTGCTTAAACGAGTTTCAGCCCCTGGAAGAGATCCACTCCCACTTCGCTTCATCAAAATAGGTGGAGTCGTGAGCAGAATGAGCTGCTGGACATCTTCAAATCACAATAAAATAATAACAACACTAAATACCTTAGCTTCTACCCCAAATCAACCACTGTCTGTCTAGACTTACCTCGCTGTGATCCGCTATCAAGTGTCCCAACCGTTTTCGACTGCCATGGGCTCCAGATTCGGATCTTTCCGTCTTGACAACCAATCGCCAAAAGTCCTGAGGGTAAGATGGATACACTGCTCGGAAGCCCACGGTGAAGATCTTCAGGATCAAGATGGTGTACCTACAAGGACGTTATACCAATAAGCTCTATGTCACTACAAAAATCTAGAGTTAAGAGCTCTTACCGCTCCATTCTGATCAAGGTCACAAATGACGATATGCGAGCGTGAAACGATGATGAGCCACTCATCGAAACACGTTCGAGACGCTGGCAATTGGGTCGTACAGGCAATGGCTTCATGGTCGTAGAAGAGCATCTGCAGACTCGGACGTCGTCTCGGCTTAATGAGTGAAGGTCCGGTAGGAGACAATAACCCCTTAGCTGCCGCTGCAGCTCCCTGGACCGATCTCGCTGATGGCGAAGATGTAGCACGACTCAGTAATCCCTTGGCTGCGGTGGTGGGATTGAAAGCTCCGGCAGACTCGTCGCCAGCATCTTCATTCCCCTCGTTGGTGTGCGCTTCGTCGTCGTCGAGGACTTGAGATTCGCCCAGATTGAACTCCGTCACGACGTCTCCTGCTTCGTAGTCCCACACAATCCCACAGCCTTTTTGCTCAATAGCAGCGACCCAAGGTTTCAAGGGATGGAAGACCACGTCCACGAACGCGCAAGGCTTCTTGTCGCTCACCCCGGGGGGACACAAGTGCGCCAGTAGCTCCACACACCCAATGCCACGCTGCAAATCATCTACAGACCCTCTTGGCAGGTTCACACGGCGCATTTCCACCCTGGTATCACTAGGGAGAGGCATGGTGCATCACCAGATGCGGAATTCGCGTCGCTTCAAGATCACTTACGTACACCACACTATTTTTGAGAGGTTACTTTTTGAGGTTACTCTTTTGGTTACGTCCAATTTGTCCCAAGAAAGTCGTGCGGCGCATCTGCGTAGTTATGAACGGCACGGAGGAGCACTTGGAGGTCCGTTCGCTGTCTATTAGTCGGTGTACTTGCTGCAGTGATGTCTACCTCATTAACAACGACTAAATGATGCGATTTACTGCGCTCTGTGCTGCGATTTACATTGGAATCAGAACGGAGCTGCTCAGTTGCGGCTCTCTTCGTCGACCAGCACCAGCGACTCCTTGTCGCCGCCCAAGCTGCCAGATGAGAGAGCAGAAGAAAGCAATGTCATGCGTCTAATGGATAGTCCGATGGCACCCAAGGAAATCGCAGAGTTCCTGCTCGAAATGCCGCACACGGACCCCAAAATGGTGCACAACTCGCTGGCTACACTATCAAGTTTTACTCTAACTAACGTAATGAATTACAACACAGGTCGGCCAAGTTTTAGGTGAACCGGATGCCAAGTCGATGAGTGTTCTACACGAATACGCCAGTGGCTTCCAGTTCGAGGGCGTGCCTTTTGACATCGCACTTCGAGTATATCTCAGTAGGTTTGAGCTGCCTAGGGAAGCTCAGAAGATTGATCGGATTCTACAAGCATTTGCCAAGGCTTACTACGCTAGCAACCCTGACAGTGATGAGTGCCCGTCTGAAGACGCTGTGTACACATTGGCATTCTCCGTGCTACTACTCAACACCGACGCGCACAACCCGAAGCTCTCACGGAGATTCAAGATGACACGAGCAGACTTTATCCGCAACTACCACCGACTGGGAGGAGAGACTGGCTCTGCGAGACCAGAGGTGCCCGACGCATATCTGGGGCAGTGCTACGACTTGTTCGTGGCGGATGCGATCAAACGGATCGAGAGGAAACCGGCGGAGCTGTTACCGGACGAAGTGGAGCTCGAATTTCCCGACGCAGCGCTAGGACTGGAGATTGAGACGTCGTTCGATGGTCGCACTGCAATCGTCAAGAAGTACGCCAACAACCGCCACACTTTCAGCAGCAGACGACGAAGGCAGACGAACGGTTCAAATGCATCAACTCCTAGCAGTTTCTTGGCATCTAGTGCTGGTTTCCTGAAATCTGGCTTGGCAAATATCTTGGCGGTAGTTGACACGGAGTTATCCATCGACGGATACGTGATCGTGGCAGTAGGTGATGACAGTACCCGCCAGATCGGTTACGCACTCACTCGCTATCTGCTCAAGACGGCGCCGCGCCCCGTTCTCATCCGATTTTGCGAACCCAGCGTATACTTTGCGTCTTTAGTATGAATTATCATCAATCAAAGCACATATGACCCCATGATTTGGATGAAGCTGAAGAAGAACGTTCTGATGCTGCAGCAACCTCTGAACGGCCGCCAGAGACACATGATCACGATGTGAAGTGCCCTCTGCCACGCTCCAAGCGGCGCGAGAATGAGTGGAAGCGCTTCCTTGCAGCAGTGCCAAAGTCGAGCTAATTTTGGTAGCCGAGTGCCTTCACACTTGGTCATGTGTCCGGTCGTCACAAGCCGTTGCCATTTGCTTTCTACCAAAAACGACAATGAAACGGGTAAACGCATCTTTTTTTTTCGGGTCCGTTGTCTCGCTCACCTGCCGTCCTCAACGCCTGCCGTTCACAAGAACACATAGTGAAACGTGCTCGTGCCAGCGCAACGACAACGCCAACAACAGCGGAAGAGACTGTCTTCTTCGAGAGAGGCGGAGAGACTGGAGAGAAACCAATACAGCATTTTCACTACGTATCCGCCAAAAATCTTGTATGGTTGTCACAGAGTGAAAGATCGCGTCGTTTCGATTGCATGCGTGTAGTGTTTGATAGATTGGGTTAGCGAATGTTTGCTAGATTGGGTTCTACGAATTTCAGTAACTTGTGCTCTTTCAAATCAAGATAAGAAACCCTATTTTCTGCAGATTTGACATAAGTCCGACTGAATGTCAAATTAGGTCGTGTCTCTTCGTTATTTTTGGTATTGTATTGAAGGCCTTGACTACTGGTGTACTACCACCCAAAGCCCACCCCTCAATCCGGACGACGATATTACTGCTGCCCACATCGTCATTCTCAGAAATTGTTCGCCAACGTCACTTGCCAATTTGCGACGATGGGCGCAGTACTCGTTTGCTTCGGAGACCATGAACCGGGTGAGTCGGACATTATTGTGGTCTGTAGGGGAAATATCTAGCATTGACATCCTTTCACTCTTCAGACTTCGGCGATATCCGACAGCGACGAGAACGCTCATCCAGCGAAGATTCGCTGCTCGATCGACTGCAAAAGAATTGGAGTTGTGGAAGCCTCGGCGACGATCAAGACGAAGGTGAAGACCCCATCAAGTGAGTTGATTGCCACTTGATTGCATTCCAGTATCGTGAGCTCTAACAATTTCGTCTGTGATCACAGTTGGGACGCTTTCCTGCTGCAGTCCAACAAATCCACTGCGTCCTCAGGTAGTCGCATGCTGTCAGCGTTCTACAGTCGCCTACTGGAGGAGAACGACGACTGTGCCTTCTACTTCGATATCAGAGGCAAACGTATCAAAGGAGCATATCTGGATCGAGTGGAGCTACTGGACGACTATTTCCTGCCCTTGGTACGGAGGCGAGCGATCTCAACGGAAAAACCACCTCCACTCGAGTCCCTGGAGATGTACAGCTCGAGCGAGGACTGCTTCTCCACTTCGTCTACCATGATCAGTGAACTGGACTACTGGGCGTCTTCAGACCCGCTTTTCACGTCCGAGGATCGCCGATACGACCCGCGTTACCTGCCTTCAAAGCCAACTCTCGGTCGCTGCGCAAGCTGGGGTGCACCAGCTCACACGGAACTCAAGATCCACCGAACTTTCAGCAGTCCGTACAAACAAGAGGACTCCTGCTTCACCCGTTTCCAGTCATCGTCTGCCAAGCCATTCCTGTCCTCAGCCATGGGTCTGGCTGCCTGAAAAGAGTCAACTACGACTCCCTCTTATCTTATTAGCGTGAAGGTGTGTCTTGCGATCTCCGTCCTTGACGGTGTACCCTTTATAAGCATGCTTGCAGTTTTTTTTTTAAAATCGATTTCGTGTTTAAAACACGCAGTTTATATTGTGGCTTTCTACATGGGCATGACTTACACTTGTTCTTAATCCATTTCCTCTTTGATCCACGTGCTGATGCCACGCTTGGGGTTACTGTAGTAGAACTTGCCAGGCACACTACGCGACTCGCGCTTGACCCAGCCAGGAGGAAGCTTCTCTACGGCTTCAGGGTGCTCTTTTTGCTGTTGAGCACGTTTGACCATTTCCTCTGGGTGGAAGTGGCAGATCTCCTTGAACATGAGCTCCTTGAGATCCGTTTCGTCCAGATCGTCCAAGTCGAAGCTCTGGAACTTCTCCACTGGAGCATTTTCTCGTTCTTCATCGTAATACATGGCCAGATACGGATGTCGTAGTGCCTCCTCCACAGTAATACGCTTCTCCACATCAAACACGAGCATCTTCCACAGCAAGTCCAGACCTTCCGGGTTTGCGTTCGGGAACATGGTGTTCGTATCGATCCCAGCCACTGCTTGAGTCCGACTCAATAACTGACGGCCCTTGAGCTTATTTGCCAACGGATTCTCCTTGAACGAGTGCTCCTCTGGCACACCCAACACGTTCATAATGAGCTGGAGCTGGTGCACATACGTCTCGCCCGGAAATAAGGGTTTGCGACCTAGCATCTCTGCGAAAATGCATCCTGCAGCCCAGAGATCTACGCCTTCGCCGTACGCACTACCTAACAGCAACTCGGGCGCGCGATACCATCGTGTAACCACATATTCCGTCATACCCACATCGTCCGCTTCCTTAGAACGTGCCAGTCCGAGATCACAAATCTTGAGCTGACAATCCGAATTGATGAGTAGATTACTGGGCTTCAAGTCACGGTGTAACACTCCAGCGCGATGCATGTGGTGCAAACCGCTCAGCATTTGATACAGGAAATATCGGATATGGTCGTCACGTAGTACCTCCTTCGAGTAGATAATACGGTGTAGATCCATCTCCATGAGGTCCACGGTCATATACACATCGCGGAAGTCCGTGTACGATGGCGGCGGGATCAGATCCAGTAAACTCAGTACGTTTTCGTGTGCCATGTGACGAATTAATCGGCACTCACGAAGAATCTGCTTGAGTTGATGAGGGTGCCAAATGCAGTCAATAACCTTCTTGATAGCCACGTTGCCGCCTGTCCGCAAATTCGTGGCAGCAATCACAATACCGTAAGCGCCGCGACCACACACTTTAATAAGCTGGTAATGCCGCGGGATAGTGAACGGAGCACCGCAAACCATAAATGTGTGCATGTCAGCGTTCTCCTTACAGATAACAGCGTCTGTAGCGGCGGGTAGAGCTGCACTGCCTTCGGGAAAGCGCTTGTGTACCGATTCATCGTCGTCTTCCTTACTACTGACAATTGCACCAGCCGACTGGGTACGCGCAGTGTCTTCAGGTGAGAGTTTAACGTTAGCCCAGCCATGACGACGTGCGTGTTCACTTCCACCCATCTGGAACTCGTCCAGAGTCATTCCTTTCTTGAGTGCAGGTGTTGCAGCTCCTAGCAGCGCCTGCGAGTGAGCAGGAGTGGCATCCCATTGCAACATGTTCGAGGACGGCGGGTTCTTCCGATCAATCACAACGCTTTGACTCTTTTTAAGTCGCGGTTGTACCCCATCGCCTTCTTCCATAATCTTCTTGCGTTGACAGGTGATACCGAGCTGCACTTTACCACAGTATTCGCCCTTCGCATTGCTGATCGAATACCATTTGCTGTCCGCTGCCATCGCTGCTTCTTCCCGTTTCTTGGTACGTTCAGTACCGTCCGCAGCCATCAGATACTTGGCAACGTTCAGCGTTGCGAAGCCAAGCTGGGACTCCACTCCATTCTTGCTGTGGTCTTTCACGTCCACTACAAGTGAGCAAGTGCCAATAACGTGGCTGAACGGAAGCTCCAGCACGCGGTTCCACACTGGATGTGTCGGTAAATACGACTCGTCCCCTGCATTGCGTGGTGTACCGGTGCTGAAGGGATCTACTACTGGAGTTGAATTGTTAGATGAACTGCCAACTCCGACCGCAGACGAAGCCGCAGAGGCCGCAGAGCTCGCAACAGAAGTCATAAAACTGAACTTCCGCGACAGATTCGGCATCGATATGCCACCAATAAGTGCTGACGGACCTGTTGCGGTGGACGACGATCCTGCTGTTGATCCATTCACGCCAGACTTTGGTTGTTCGCGGTACTGGAGTTGTACCGTGATACTCGGTTCCTTGACTGCTTTCTTGACTGATGTACCAGCCTTCAGCCCATGGCCTTGCATCACCCGTACCAACAATAATCCTTCAAGACCGTGCTCAGCATCTACTTCGTTAAACTCTTGAGGCAGCTTGAGCGTCGTAGCTGCACCAGGAACTTTGAACACCGCACTAGCTGCTACAACGTCGCCGTTGATCTCGAACCGCGCCAGTCTTCCATCAGAATAAAACGTGAACTTGTGCACCCAATTCTGAATGAATTTACGCGCATCACGTCGATTTTCGAGCTCTTCTTTGCCAGATGCCACAGCGATGGAGCCATCCACCGACATGCCACCGATTTTGAAGTTCGTCCACAGTGTATGTCGAGCAAAGTCATGCATGAACGTCACGACACCAGAGTGACCACGGAAGGAACCGTGGAACGGTACGGATGGTGGATAATTGGAGCAAAAGATGACATCTTTGTCCAGTAACCGGAAGAAGCGCGTGAACACTTGTTCAGATGGCGGAGGCAATGTCACGGCCATGTCTCCTTCTGTGCGCCAGTTACCACTGTGTGCTGTATAGAGCACAACCAACATCGCGTAAAACTCCTCCATGTCCAGTGGTGCTACTGGAAGTGTAGGCAGCGCCACGATGGCTTCAAGTCCAAGTCGCATCCAGATAATTTTCTCCACAGCAGTTGGCGCTGTCACTTGTAGCGTCTTCTTGTCTTCGGTTATAAACGTGAAGCCATTGGCTCGACTTGACGAGTCTTTAACCCCTGCTAGCACGTACAAATGACTCGCATTGCTGGACGCTGGACTGCTGGAATTCCTCCGGATCATACTCGCTGCAGGACTACCAGGTACAGGTTTACTAGGATCACTCGGTGGTTGAATATGGTGAGGCACAAGCGGCTCATCTCGAGACGATAGATAGGCCTCTTTCGAAGCGAATCTTCGCAGGAATTTACCTTCCAACACGTAGTAGTGTCTCTCCAGTCTTCGCAGCCATTCGCTTCTTCTGGTCAACACACCTTCCCACTTAACCGCCTCATGATATAGTGTCCCTGACTGTGGCCGGAACGTCGAGTCATCCACCCCTGACGGCGAGCTAGCATCAAGCTCCTTATCAATATCTAACGATGGTCTATCGCCATTCTGCAACGCTGTTACCGGACCTGGATGTGTTGGGATTGAGTTTGCCGCTTCTAAGTGGCTTGGCTCCTTCACTTCTCCATCCCCCTGCTCCACTCGAACGCTACTTGTAGTAGATGAGGGCTCTGTGAGGACATTTTTTGCGCCTGCCGCTGTAGTTGACGAGATCCTTTCTCCAAGAGTATTAAGACGTGAGTCTTTCGCTTCTGACAACCGCCGCAATGACGAGTCGTATAAATTTTGCTCCTTGCCGTGCAACGACAGCTTGGCATCTTCCAGAATCTCCGACGCGCGCTCGGAGATCTCTCCTTGCTGCCTCCACATATTGATCACTCCCTCTCGACTACCCAATACCATTCCAGCAGTCATGGAGCTGTCATGGCTGCGGCGACGATAAGCAAAGTCACTGCCACTTGAGACGGTGGAAATGTCTAGGCCATTGAGCATATCCATCGTAAAATGAGACAAGGCGCTCTCACTATTGCGCACTTGGTCGTAAGGAGCTTCGCCACCGGGAGTCGCGAGGCTGAAAGCCCCGTCGATAGCGGGCGTGGCTGCCAAGTCCTCTACAGGCGGGGACGGCCGCATCCTTAGCGAAGCTCTGGTCCACGCCGCGCTCTCGCTCTGTGTGCGTAGTCGCTCTTTCCTCTTGAGTTTCCGCACCTGCTGAGTCGGTAGCGGATCCACATCGCTGGATGTATTGCTGCCACGCGGCTCTCCGTCCGCAGGGCTTGTGCTAGTCGAGGACGTCAAACTGGACGGTTCCTCGTACGGTAGCGCGTCCTGATAGCTGTCGAACTCGTCGGATGCCTCGATCACCTCCATGACGACGTGTATGTGTGACTTGAGCTTCAATTGGAGGCGCTGTGACTACGTAAAGGCGTAGAGGACGAGCAGACGGATGGAAGTCGAATAGAGGGCTCTAGTGACGGCTCTGCCGCTCGGATTTCAGCCAGGATCAGCTGCTAAGAACGCGCCGCCGTTCCCCTATCGAGTGCAGGAGCGTATGGAAAGCGATAGCGCGCAGGAGGCGAGAAGCAAGAGGGGGAAGCGTAGCCTCCGACCGTCGCTTTGTCGCCTATTGCGGTTATGCGGGTAGGTCGAACAGCTCAGACAGCCCCCTATTTGGTACCCAGTTTTGGACAAGGCAGAACTCAGGTGGTCGTGTTGTTGTTTACACTTGGAAAATGTATAGTCCAGACATCCTCTAACGTGTCAAGCGCAGCAGCACCGAGGTCAGCTGGCTGGGCCGTTCTGGCGGATGGGAGCATGAGCCCGAGCCAACGCGTCACATTGTGAGCGTTTGGCATCGCCCTATTGACATTAGCTGAGCCTCGTCGCGTAGGATAGAGTTCATGACAAGATAGGCGGGAAGATCTTCTGCTGCACCATCTCTTCCAGCACGCTGCGCACTTCCTTGGTCTCCAACTGCCACATGAGCAACATAAACGTCATTTTGACTTACATTACACCACTACAATTGCCACATACCGTCGGGTGTTCGTATCGGAAGCCCGTGGACTCGATCTTAGAGCCGTCCACATAGAGATGGTTGTGCTGTAGCAATTCCTTGTCGATGTAGGGCGTCAGGGGTGTATTGGTAATGCCATGTTCCTGAACGACAGCCCAAAGCAAAGCAAGAGCAAAGGCAGGCAGAATTGTTAGATCCACACGAAGTGACTTGGAATCCGGGTGTATGGGAAGAAAATTACCGCGCACAGATCGGCCCACGGCTGCATGTGCTTCTCGTTGGCATCGTCCACGACGTCAGCAAGACGAACGCGTGCCAGGTTAGACACCAGCTTGCCGATGAAGCCGGTCTTGATGTGGAAAATCTCCTCCAACACGGCGTTGATCTTGGCTTGGTCTGCAGAAGACGCGATGAGTTATTGTTGCTAGATATTCGCACATGCAGCATGCAGCATGCAGCACTTACTGGTGTCGTTCTTGTCCACTAAGTTGTAAACTTCGCCATCGTTCCCAGCACTAATCAGGTGCCACAGCGCTTGGCACACATCATACACATGAACCTGTACAACAAGTACGTTAACTGGTCTGGATTCAGGTCAAACGAGAGCGTGAGACTGCAGTGCCCATTGTACCGTGTTGACGCGCATCTCGGCGTCCCAAAGCAGCTTCATCTTCTCCTCCAACTTTACATATCTAGGCAAAACGGCATCAGCGAATAAGCTCAACGAACTTTCGCGTAGTTGTGGCACGTACGAGGCGGCGCAGACAATTCTAGGCATGAGTCCCGCCGAATCCGCCGACCCGTACACCTACACAGCATCAGTCGGGTCGATAAACCAACTGAAAGACGAGCAAGAGCAAATTTGTGACGTACCGTCGCCAGGCGGAGGAACACAACCTTCAGATCAGTCATACTGCGGATCTCCTCCTCCGCCTCTAGTTTGTACTTGGCTTGCAGAGTCCACGGCTGCAGCTCGGCGTCCTCCTTTGCCGACTGCTTGACCTGCGACTTGTACACGAAGGCGGTGGATACTTCAATGTAGCGCTTCACACCCACCTCCTGCGCCTTCTTGGCTGTTAAAGTGTCAGTTCAGCTCCATTCACGCGTTATAGCTATCGTACTAACAACAGACACGTACCGCACTTCACCGACAAGTCGCGGCATTTGGAGGCGTAGACGGTTTCTGAGAGTCCGCACTTAGTCTCGCCCGCTAGGTTGAATACGAAGTCGTAGGGACCGAACTCCGGGTTAAACGCGCGGTCCACATGAGCGTCACGAGTCAAATCCGCCTGCACGAATTTGACACGCTCGTCCGCGAATGCCTCTTTGTGCGGGGCGCTGCGTAGCGAAAGTCACAGTCAGGATCCGACTACAAAGAGGCGGGGGATACTTAAAATGCACCTGAAGTAAGAGATCTCAGGCATCGTCTTGTCAGCCACACGCACAGCCGATACCAGGTCACGGTCCACCAGATACTTGACGAAGTTGCGGCCGATCATGCCGGCGCCGCCCAGCACCAGCACCCGCGGCTTAGCGGCCATGATCGACGTGCTCAACAAATGCACAAAAGAAATACTGTGTCATGAACACAAATCGCGTTTACCACACTATATAAGTGGTCCACACATCTAATAATTAGTGTAGGAATTATTTCGTCCCGCGGGTCGACACATCCCGTGAACATCCATCCCGCACTCGTACGTGGAGCTACATCTGCGATCGCCTGGGCACTCTTGCTATCCTTCCGTTCCTCTCGATTCCTCTGTCCACCATGCGGAGCTTCTTGGCGTTGCTGGGCTTCGCGTTGACTGTGGCGACGCTTCTCTACATGGGGCAGGAGCCGGACCCTCCAGCTCGCGTGGCCGAGCTCATCAGCGGCATGCCTTCCAAGGACGGCTCACGTTGCGACGTAGCCAACCTCGACACGCTGCGCCATGCTGCCATCGTCTACACGTGGGTAAACGGCACCGAAACGTGCTACAACAAGCGCCGTGAGCGCGCGGGGCTACCTCGCGGTGGCTCGTCGAGGGACAAGGAGATGGGTGAGCTCAAATACTCACTGCGCTCGTTGCTCAAGTTCACGCCCTGGCTCGAAGGCCCTATCTACATCGTCACCCCAGGCCAGATCCCAGACTGGCTGGACGTGTCTAATCCGCGTGTACGGGTCGTGGACCAGGACGACCTGCTGCCCAAGGGCAAGGCCACTCTCCCGACCTTCGACACTAATGTCATCGAGCAGTATTTGCACAAGATCCCAGGGCTCACGGACATCTTCATCCACATGAACGACGACTATTTATTCATCAAGCCTGTGACCCCCGATCGGTTCTTCACGTGTGACGGTGGGCTGCGTCTCCTCACTGAGATCAACCACATCCGCCACGTTCCAAGCCAGAAGTCCAATGCGTGGCTGGCCAGTGTGCGCAACACAGTGATGCTCACGGACAAGACGTACGGTGGAGAGCACGTGTACAACTTCCTCAAACACGCTCCGTTCGTCTACAGTCGTCTGGCGTTTGAAGAGATCCACCAGAAGTTCGGCAAGGAGCTGGACGCCATGCTACCCCACCAGATGCGCCACCCGGACGACCTCAACATGCCGTTGTTACACCACATTTACATGCAGGAGGAAGGATCCAAGAAGCTCGGGATCCCAGTGGAGCTTAACCCACTCAACGAATGTGACGACTGGCTGCTAGTGCGTGTGAAGGACAACATCGAGGACTCTCTCAATGCACAGTTCAAGATGGCGCTGGAGAACAAGGGACCTGAGATCCTGTTGGCTCTTAACGACGAGTACACGAGTCCCAAGACAGCTGAGCTTGTTGGTCGCTTCTACTCTCAATTGCTGCCGGACCCTGCTTTCTTCGAACTGCCTGAAGGTCAGCACGTGAGTGTAGTGAGCAACTGGCACGGCCCAGACTGCGTTTACGACCCGAATGTGATCCCGCTGCCCGAGCCAAACTTCATGTCACTTCGAGTCGAGGATGAAGTAGCCACCGACTGGGCTCCTGCACCGTCAGTGACGCGATTCCGTTCTCCGAACGAACGTGCCTTTGCCGAGATGATGCCGTCATTTGGATGGACTTTAGCCTTGAACATTGGCTACGGCTTCGGTCTGGCCATTGCGGCCATTACCTCCGTCTACATTTTCCGGTTTACCAGCAAGGGCATGCCTGGGCTACACGCTACCAAGCAAACATAAGCGACGTGACGTCTGTAGCTAGAAACCTGTTCTGTAGCTGTAGATGAAGCACACTGGTAAATGAAATACATGTTCGCTCGCTTCATTGTCTGTGCCCAAAGGATTGCTATGTAGTTGCCACGTCATTGATAAGAGGACAACATCAAATAAACGAAAAAAGATATCGCAACGTCTATTCTGCACTGAACGCTGGCGAGTTGTGTGCACATTTGCCTCGTGCTGTAGATACACGTACTAAACCTACCAACCTCGTCTCCACAGGCTTCATGCTACCAGCCCGCAGCGTCGACGGTCTTGCCTCTGCCCGTAAAACATTCTGCACTTAATTCCCCCATCCAGCTCGTTTACACCTTATCATAGGCGCCGTTTGAGCCCATTGGTGCCTTATTGCGGCGCAATACCAGCAAGTAGAAGATGTACATGATAATGGCACCCAGACCGAAGCCCATTCCACGCAGAAGCGAGTTAGTAAATGCCACCCAACGCAGCTCACGGTACGCGATCACTTGGTACTTGGGCGCAGCTTCCACTCGTCTCGGGAACGGCGACAGGATCATCGGATCCACTTCGCAAGTGCCAGGCTTGCGTACAGTAAGCGCGTGGGGCTCCGAGTCAGGCTTACGCTCGAATGAGCTGGGCTCAGGCAGGAATTTGTTGAGGAACTCAAGCGCTGTGTCCGCCACACGCATGTCCGAGTACTCATCGTTAAGCGCAACGATACTGTATGGCGTAGAACCGTCCAGAATCTGTCCAAAAGTCTGCTTGAGCTTGTCGATGTTATTGTTCTGCATCAGAATCAGCTTGTACCCTGACATCTCCTCTTCAGGAGGCGAGTAGACAGGGATACCGAGCTCTTCGCTGCCTTGTGCCACCATGTAATAGTGATGCAGTAGCGGCATGTTCATATCAGGCTTGCCACGGAACTTGCTCTTGAGCGTCATGTACAGAGGACGGTCGAAGATCTGGTGGACGCGCTCGAATGCACGACGCGAGTAGACAAACGGAGCGTGCTTGATGAAGTGGCGATCAGCCTTGCCCCAACGCAGATCCATCTCCTGCTGAGTGTTGAGCACGGAGGCGATCCAAATTCCCTTCTTCGGGGTCGGCGGCGTGTGGGAGATGAGTCCATTCTCGTGCAGCAACCGGATGCCGCCGTCACACGTGAAGAACTCGTGGGGAGCGATGGGTTTGGTGAACAAATAATCGTCGTTGACTTGCATGTAAATGTCCGAGAGGCCGGGGATGAGGTACAGGAACTGCTCGATCACGTGCGTGTTGAAAGTGGGTAGGAACTGCTTGGCGTAGTCCGGGAACAGGTCGTCCTGGTTGATCACCTTAATACGTGGGTTGTTCATGTCGATCCAGTGTGGGATGTGGCCAGGAGACACGATGTAGATCTGGCCAGTGTGCCAAGGTACGTACTTCTCCAGCGAGCGGATGGAGAACATGAGCTCTCCGATCTCTCGGTCGCGCGAGCCTCCGACGGCGTGTTTGCCGCCAGCCTTTTCGCGGAGCTCGCGGTAGCAGGGCTGACTGCCGTTGACCCACGTGTAGACGATGGACATGCGGCGCAGCTGCTCAAAGTTCTTGATCTGGCACTGACCCGGCCACTGGTCCATGATGGCCTGTGTGTTGAAGCGCTTATCCTCCTCGTCCGACAGCTTGTCGTACGTGTAGGGAGTTGGCGTCTTAGTGAGCAGGTACATGACCAGTAGCAGCGCACCACATGCTGTCAGAAGCACATAACGAAGGTTGCGCTGGTGACTGAGCGCCATGCGCATGCGCACGCCGGCCGGAGTCTTCATCATCGCCTGTACACTGCTGTCTTGCTCGCGAGAACCGAAGTGCGGCGGTTTGGCTCGCGGGGGAGTTTGAGCGAAAGTACGTGGCATAAGCCACTCACTTGCACTCAGTATGTTGTTTTGTGTGGGTATTGTGTGAAGGGGTGGGGCTATTCCCAGTGTATCCCGGTCCCGCAAACTAGCGGGCCAAAGCTTCTTTTCCTTCCGTGGATGCAGCGATCCAGCAACAGAAACCAATGCAAGCGAGTAGTAGACTGCATTGTGCGAGCCTCCATAGTTACGAAAGCCCAGATCGGCGCGGAGGTATATGAGGACGAGTAGCAACCTCTCCCGGGTTCAGTGGCGGTAAGGAAGCCATGTGGCTGGCTCCTAACTTTTAGCGCTAATTCGTAGTTAAAACCCTTGACGAGCTGCTGTCAGTCGCAAGGGGACGATGGGCCAGAGACGTGCGAAGATGTTGCCGGAGCTCGTCACCCCAATGGAGACCACCTCGCTGTGTTGGACAGTGGCACCATGCCGCCGTCTCGGTCGTAGGATCTGCGAGTGGAAGGAAGTCCCGTAAAAATCGGTCGTGCAGACTGCTTATCGCCCGTGACGAAGAGCATTGACAATCTTGTCATTCCATGTTGTCTTTAGTCGATCTCCATGGCGACTTGCAAAACGCTTTGTCGAGAAGATACCCTGAGCACCGTCGGCAGTATCCACTTGCCTCGAAGACAATACTTTCAATATCTATTATAGCTAACCGACCAACATGTTCAGCACAGGTGGAAACATATTCACAGCAACTCCCAAGTGTCTTCCAACTCGCTTCGCTAGCTGAAAAATGCAGCCACCAACCCATCCTAAAAATCGATGCTCACAGCATCCATTTCAGTGCGCGCTCGCTAAAGCTGACAAGTACAACTTCAACACGGTAGTATAGCGTGATTCACGCCGTGAATGCATGCCGGCACGATGCTGATTCCTTGTGAAATTCATTCCAAGCCCAAGCCCAAAAGCTTCGCTGCAGGACTGGCGCCATTGCCGATCGCGAGGCAAAATTTCGCGCAACTTGTGTGTAGGGCTTAACGCACCTTAAATGTGTGGTCCACGCCATTATTCTGCCTCTCTGTGTGCGCCACATCGCTTGTTTGGTGGAGAAGACGGTCTCAGTATTGGCTCTAGCGCACCCGAACCCTCCAGGCTCCTGCCTCGAAACCTCCGCCGCCTTTGCCGCAGGGCACAGGAAAGTATCCACGTCCTTCATTTTCCTCTAAGTGAGAGCAAGACCCATGGCGGACGAGTGGCCCACCGTTGCGAGTGAGTACCAGATCATTGAGCAGATCGGCCAAGGTGCCTTTGCCAAAGTATGGAAGGCCTACTGCGCGCCCAAGAAGATCCACGTGGCCATCAAGATCATGGACCTCGAGAAGATCACGACGAGCTTCGAGGACATTCGTGCTGAGGTGCAGACGATGAAGATGACCAACCATCCGAATGTGCTCAAGTGCTACTGCAGCTTTGTGCACAAGGACCAGCTGTGGCTCGTCACGCAGCTCATGAACAAGGGCTCGTGTCTGCACGTTATGAATCTGCTAAAGAAGAAGGGACTTGGCGAAGGTCTCAAGGAGGAATTCGTGGTCGTCATTCTGCACGAGACGCTCAAGGGTCTGCAGTACTTCCACGAGAACGGCCAGATCCACCGAGACATTAAGGCCGGCAACATCCTGCTGGACAGCGAGGGCCACGTCGTCATCGCTGACTTTGGCGTCTCCGGTTGGATGATGGAGGGTGGGGACCGTCGGAAGAACCGACAGACTTTTGTGGGCACCCCGTGCTGGATGGCGCCCGAGGTCATGGAACAGGTGCGCGGCTACGACTACAAGGCCGACATCTGGTCGCTCGGTATCACGGCGCTCGAGCTCGCCAAGGGATATGCGCCCTATGCTCGTTTCCAGCCCATGAAGGTGCTGCTGCTCACGTTGCAGGAAGACCCGCCGTCCCTGCGCACATACGACGTATGTTAACACAGGAGGAGTACTATCCAAAGCCGATAACTAACGTCGTGTATCTGGCTACAGGATGATGGCAGTGGACACCAGTTTGGACGGCACTTTAAGGATGTGGTCAAGCTCTGTTTGCAGAAGGACCCATCCAAGCGGTGAGCTTAGAACTATTTGGTGTTTTTCGAGCTTGTACTTCTGATGACTAACGGGTTTTTGTGTACGGTGTAGCCCTGGCACCTCGGCGCTGCTCAAGCACAGCTTCTTCAAGAAGGCAGGAGACACTACCTACCTGGCGCGGAACCTGCTTAACAACATTGAAGACATCGGCGAGAGCTGCATGACAGCCGGTATTGCAGATGCGCTTCCTGGGTACGAAGAGAGTCATCGGAAATGGAAATGTATATAGTTAGCTAAGTGTATTGTGTGACTTTGATGCTGCAGCGCGGGGCCGCTTTACGCGAAAGGAACGAAGGGTCCGCCTGGATCGGAGGCTGAGGGCTCAAAATACGTTCCAGGTACGACTTGGGTCTTCGATGACGAGGAGGACGACGCTAGCAAGATGTCGATAGACGATTTCGCCAGCCAGTTTGATATGGTCACGGGTGGCGAGGAATTCCGTTCCAAGTAAACCTCAGCACCCGTCAAGCCTTCATGCAAGCCCGGACATACTCAACACGGCGTCCTCGACGAACCTCTCAGGGAGAAAGGCAAAGTCTCATTTAACAGACCATGGAGATGACGCCAACCGAGTGTCCATCGTAGCAGAAACATTAAATTCAGGTCTGTTTTGTTTTATCTTACGAAGAAGCTGTTGTTGCTTGAAATCTATCCACGATAAAATACCACATTGCCACGAAAAATGCTGAATGATAAATTACATAGACCTCAAAACCTAGATTAGAGTAAGCTTCCTGCTCGCTATCTGGACATCGTTTCCTTTTTCTGTATAATGACGTTCTTGGTACGCTTGATCATACAAGTCCACCCATGTCGTCGTACTGTGTAGCACCTGCTAAAGGTTTGCCTGTTGTTTCGCGCGTATATTCCCTTGACCAAAGAGCACAGTCACAGGCAGCACTAGCAATAGCAGCAGACGCCGGACGAATCGGATAGAGGAGACCAGCAAGTAACGCGAGCACAAACGCCGGCATCAAAGAGGCCATAGAAACCACGAACTTCGCGCCGCTGAAATAGAAGATGCGACCCCACACTTCGCCCTTGCCGTGATAACGGAACATACCCCCCTTCGGCTTTCCAGATGAGTCAGCATTCTCTTCCACTAGACGGTTCAGCACCATGCGCTGATCTCTGGAGATGCAGCTACCGTTAGCACGAGACAGTTCCATGTCCGACAAGGCGTCCAGTGCGCCGACGATACTCGAAGCAGCAGGCGGTACCACCAACAACCCGAGAAGAAGCAGAACGCCCACTGGAATGAAGAGCACAGACAGCGGAACGCAGGCAAAAGAGTACGCCAAGAGCTTTGGCAGACTGTACGCTTCCGTAGATGATGCAGGAATAGCAGCTCGAGCATGCGTATTAGGCTTGACCGGGATAGCTGTTGCCACTGGGGACTCTGCAGTCTGCAGCTTTTCACTCTTCTGCTTCGGCGAGACGTACGGACGGTAATCGGAGGTAGCAGCCTGCTGCAGATCATCGCTGTCACCGTCCACATCCTTCCAAACGTCCGTCTTGACTTTAGGAAGGTCCGACGAGCCTGCTTCACGGTCAAATAGCGAGTCCTTGGAGTCGGATCTAAAGTATCCATCAACATCCATAGGCGCGTTTTTGTCCTCCAGTAAGTTTTTCTTGGACGCCGACGAAATGCCCTCGCCAGTAATGTAACCAATCGACAGTTTGCTGCCACTGAGGCCACGACTACTTAGCCCATCTTCGCTAAACGATGTGCCTGACAACATCTCGTGCCGTCCCTTGTTCACCTTGACTCTCTTCTTCTCCGGTAGTTCGTCAGCATCCGCCAGCTTGTCATTGTCGTTTTGTCCCACACGTGTCTGCGGCCCCCCACTGCTATTAAACTCTTCAACCATCTTGTTGCGCTGTCGCAAAAGAGTGCGTGTGTTGCCAATCTGGAAATTCATCGACTCCGTGTGGCCCAAACGCTCGAAAATCGTCTTTTCGCGCGAGTAAAACACGTCGATTTCAAAGAAGTAGAGAAACTCTGCTGCTAGCGGGTCTCCTCCAGCATCGTCGGCTCCATGTGACGACACAGCTGGACTCGAACTCTGCACGTGGCGCCTCTTCTTGGGCAGATCGAACTCGAATTTCCAGACATCCGGGTGAAATGTCACGTCGAATTGTACACCGCCACCGTCAAGCGGAGCAAAACTGTCGATGACACCGACGGCGCTAACACCTTGAAGGGATTTCATCTCCGGAAGACTCAACAGCTGTTGCTCTGTCAGCGTCATGTTGCGAGAAAATGTACTGTTGCAACGCGCCAGCACTAATAGACCAGGCTGCACCACGGACGAACCTGCAGGTGCTGGAATGGACACATGAGCCTTCACAGGAGCACGACAGACACCCTTGCATCGGTGTTGAAGGTTCTCAATACGCACGCGGTAATAGTCTCCATGTTCCGGGCAGTACGGGAAACACTGGATATTCTTACGGTCATTGCGCCAGTATTTCTCGAGAAATCGGGTCTGAATATCGATGATCGCTGGTGCTGGCGATCCTGGAGGCATAATCATACCTGGATTCGCGGACACAGGGGTCGATAAGAAAGGGTCCATCATCTCAGTGTCTTCAAGCTTCACTTCGCTCATCACAATGCCACTGCGAGACGAGCTTCCAGTCATGGTATTGTCGGAATCGAAGTCCAGACTGTGAATTTTCTTGAATTGCGGGTTCTGCGTCACCACCGGAGGATTCTGCTGCATGAGAACAGGGTTCGACTGCATCTCTCGCTGCACGACAACTGCAGCGTCGTTCTCGGACAAAAAGTACTTCGTCAGTTCATCCAGCTCATCCACATCAAAGTCCAGCGAGTTGGTCGTCGTTGGTTCAATCTGGACTCTTCCCATGTTGTTCAAGTCGCTCATCTTTCCGCCGCTGCTGGTGCTCCCAGTAGCCGCAAAGCTGCCCATGCTGCCATTATCCATGCGTTCCTCTGCTGTATTTCCCTTCAGCAAGGAATGGGATGACGACGACCGGTTAATGTCCTTGATGATCTGGTCCAGATTGTCGTCCTGAGTGAACGAGTCCACAGCTGAACTGATGACAGCAATCGGCAAACTGTCCCGCTTTTGGTCCTGTTGTTGCTGTTGGTCAGCCAAAGCTGCGCCGTCAATTTCCGAGGACATTTTAGCCACATCATTAAAAGACTCGGCGAAAAACTGCTCCGTGTCCTCTGAAAAGCTGAATTTGAGTGACCCCACCGACAAATTGCTGGAGCGGAGGACATTTGTGTTTTCCTCCTCCGCAGGGTTCAGGTCCAAGCTGTGGCTGGAAGTTCCCATCATGTTCAACATCGAACTTGAAGATACGGTTGAAGGTCCTGCAGCGGGAGACGGGGCGGTGGGCGGTACCAGCGACGGCGTAACTGAGGTGGGGGTCGTGATCTGCTGTCTGTCAAAGATTTCCTTCTTGGGCGACAGCGTGATGGAGCCCGTGGGGGAGCTCATGGAGCATTCACATTCGCTCTGAAACTGTGGCAAGCCGAGCGGGTTCACGAACTTGCCGCATTTATCGCAGAAATTGGCGAATTTGGCGAATTTCTGGGGATAGTTGGCCTTCAGATACTCGTCGTAAGCGTGAGCAGCCTCCTCGGGGGTCTTGCACGTGTTCGTGATGCGTTTAGCGCTGTATTTAGCGCCCCATGAGGTCTTGCTCGTCTGTGTTACACCGCGATACTTGGAAGTTTTACCTTTGATGACCTTGCCTGCAAACTTCTGCTGTTGTTGAGGGGCTACTGACGTCAGGTCGCCTGTGCTGAGATCGCCCACGACGTCCACGAGCTCGCTGGTGTTGGCGGCGTGGAGGAACGACATGTCCTGGTAGTTCTGCTCATCGGACGGGGTCACTACCGAGTAATCTGATTCTTCGGACGTATATCCATTCGAATTGCTGAGCGGCGTGTCGCTCTGGGTCGGCTGCGGAGCCACAATAAAATCTGACGTTCCATCATTAAATTAGAGATGCAATACATAAAAATAGAGAGACCACCGCGCACCTTGCAGGAAATTGGCACCAGGCTCCTCCAGCTCGTCCAGGTGGGCATCCAGTGGATCGTACTCGTCGCAAGTGGGCAACGGCTGCGTCTGCATCATGGCTGGTGCCTATAAGTGTCGGTATCGGGTTCAGTGCTCTGTTGGTGTTGGTCGATGGCGCGTCGGACTGCTCTGCGTCTGCCGCGTGCGCTAGAGCTGCGGAGGTGCGTATCGGGGCCGCGCTACTGCAGCAGGCTGCTGTGGTAAGGCGAGATGGAACAACTACGGCGTCTTCTTCCTCACCTCTGAAAGCCGCAATAGACTGCGGAAGGGAAGCGCCAAAGGGTTTGGACAAGCTGAATCTCTCGGTGTCCTACGCCATCCGTCATCGGGGACAATGGCTGTAGGATTTGTTAATGCGAAAAATGTCGCATTATATTGTCAGATTTTGTGGCAGGAGGATGAATAGAGTGATCTCATTGGCGGAGACTCGCTCCCGTTTTTAGCAAAAATGCTGGAATGTGCGAACCTTGTGTGCCACATTGGAAAAGGGATCGGGCGGGAGTGCGAAATTATGGCTAGATGGATATTTTTTCTCGCTGCAGAGAATCCGGTGGCGGCGCGCGTCGTGTCCCGCACGATAGGCTACATGTATTACCGACAGCAGGCAGCGCCGAGGCACTACGCTCGACAGAAGAACTCCGCGAGTGTCCATGAGACCAGCCAGATATTCAGCACCCTGTTGCTTGGTTTGGTTGCTTGGTTCAACTTGACCACGAACGCGCCGCCTGCGTGGCAATGGACACGAATCCCTCTTCAAACAAGTTGGCACATCGACGGATGCAGCTTGTACTTGCCCTTAGACTGGAGAGTCTTTATCGCTTCTGCACGATGTTTACCACGCTGGTTGTCATCTGCTCTCTGTATCAGTGTAGTGCTCGATTTTAAATGGCGGCAAGCCAGTGTGACGCTTAAGCGATTTGGCATCTTTGGTGCTAGCAATACACGTACCAGGGCGCTTCGATCGCTGGAATCTGCATTGCAGTGCTGGACTTTTGCATAGATTTTCCTCAGCAAGTTTGCTGACATCCAGAGGTACAGTATAGCCCACTCGATAACTACGACCGTCAAATGCTCCCTGACTTGGCATTTGCAATGGTATTTAACACGACCGAAGCAGTGGGCAATGCTGCATTCGCAATGCTTTTAGTAACACCAGGCTGGTGTATTCAAGGAATGCATTGCCAATTCGTGTTTGGTATTGCAAAAATAGTCCTTTTGTGATTAGAGCATGCACAATCGTTCCCTGGTGATGCTCATCAATTTCAAGCCAAAATGACTGGGACGCACAAGCTGCACGTCGAAACACTACAGGACTTGCCGCCCCTCGATGGCAATGGCGATCCATCAAGCGTCTCAGTGCACGGTCGCTTCGTCCGCAAGCGCCACTTGTCGTACGTTGGCATCAATTGCACACTCGCATCGCTTCCATTGCTGCGTTCTCACTTTTTTTTTTCCTATGTTGCATCTGCTGCAGCAAAGGCCTCGTATTCGGCGATATCCAGTTGAGCGATGGAGGTGCGATTGCTGTACTTTATCTCTGTGTCAATAGCCATGCCAAAACTAACTCTACTTACGTCTAACAGAGCTATTGGAGGTCATGATACGCGCTCAAGAGGGCATCCTCGACTTCGCTGCCATTCGCCAGATCAACTGGGACGTGCACCTTGGCGACCTGGTCACAGCTTATGGGAAATTGCAGTGCAAACATCATGGACCTGGACATCCGGACGGTTGGCTGTTCGTGCTTCATTCGATCCAGGTAGACGAGCTCTGGAGTCTGCATCACGGGGGTACCGTGTTCAGCTACACTGACGCCACGGACTCGACAAGAGATGCACCATCAGTGAAGGGATCTTGGGTCTTACCGCCTTCGTCGAAAGCTGGAGCGGTCAATAAGTACACCAACATGGTGGTGCTCGACGGCTTCAACGCCTGCAAGTATTATTTCTCATCTTCGAGTGGCGCCAATTGCCTGCGTGGAGAACAATGCCACTTCTGGCATGGTCAGCCGGAAGATTTTAAGGAAAACCGAAGGCTTTGGATGGCGAAGCGGATCGAACAGCGCGCAAAGGCTGCGCACCTTGCTGGTGATAACGGTGATCCTCACTCCAAGATCGACAAGGCACAACGTAGCCGCATTTTCTGCGATTGGCTTGTGGAATCACTAGGCGAGGGTTGTCTGGCTGCTGGAACAGGCGTCGTCGATGTTGCTGGTGGCAAAGGTGATATCCCGATTCAGCTCTGGATTCAACGAGGCATCCCAACCACGCTCATCGACCCGGTACGTCGACTCCAATTGGTTGGCTTGTATAAGAGTCTGACCAGGTTTTTGTGATATGCAGAGGCCCATGAAGCTTGGCAAATACAATCGCAAGCTTGTTGCCAAAGCCGAATTCACAAAGGGCCGTAAAATGAGCCCTCAACTGCTCCGTTGTCTCGACGATGAAACATTGAAACTGCATACCGAGCTGTTCACGGACTGTTCCGTACTGGTTGGAATGCATCCGGATGAGGCCACGGAAGCTATCGTCGACGCTGCTCTGACATTAGGCAAACCGTTTGCTATCGTGCCTTGTTGTGTGATGAGCCGAGTGTTCCCAGATCGGCAATGTCAGGATGGCACACCTGTTGACACTTATGACACGTTCATACGGTATCTTTTAGAGAAGCACCCCTCAATTCAAAGGGAGTTCCTACCTTTTGCAGGTCGAAACCAGGTACTTTATCTTTTCGACTATAGCAAAGAACCAGACCAGAGCTCTGATGGAGTCCAGCCAGCCAGCACATAGCTATTCAAATACACACTCGGCTTGTCATATTTTACTTCAGCTTCTCACCTATATCACCTAAAATTCTTCTGCTGGTTCCGAATAGCTTTTCGTGCATCCAACGTTAGCGGGAGCAACCGAAGCACTCGATCGATTGGCCGGTTGCATACCATGCAGCCACATTTCATTCGGTGTTGGCGCTTCGCACAGGCATAGCAGCAGTACACGTGCAGGTATAACCCGTGGACGATACCGGCGTTGCGCGGGCTAGCGTCACATACCAAACACATCAGGTCGTCGATGTCCTTCTCGGGCACAGCCTTCTCATCCTTGACTTGTGGTTCTTCTTGCTTTTGTTCTTCATTACTTGTCAACTGGAGTTTCTGCTCCTTCGTGCTTTCCGAGCGAGGTGTTCGGCGTGGCGAGATTATCTCCAAGTCCTTTGCCTCTTCCTCATCATCCGTGGCTTGATCGTCGTCGTTGTCTACGACTGTTGCAGCGCGCTTTTCCTGCTCCGTCTTTTCCATCACTTCTTCTTCATCCTCAGTCTCCTCTTCTTCACTCTCGCCAACGAACGCATCCAGCGTACCACGTCGAGACTCTGAATTCCTATAGGATGCACGAGACGCAAGCGGGAGGAAATCACTTGTGACGTTGCGTCGTGTGATTCTCTTCCACTCGTTCGGCATGTAATGGGCGATCCGTTTCGAGTCCTCAGCAAATTTTTCCACCAGACCCACTAGTCTCTTGAACCGACCAAACTCCTTCTTAAAGAACTCCTCTCGATACTGCCCAGCAATCCGCCCACTGCTATCAGCACACTTCTTTCGCTTCGCATCAATGATGATGCACCAAAATTGCTTGGCATGCAGCATTTGCCAATACGCCAATGTCCGCTAAACACAGTAAGATAGCGCATCAGCTGCGTTCACTCTTCCAGGGAAGCCAAAAACAAATACAAGAATCTTACCGCATGACACACGCTTCCCATTTCAAAAGAAATTTGGACGGGAGCTGCTTCCTTCACTGCCTCCTTCAGACTACGACATCACACAACTGTTGTTAGCTTAAATATTCAACAGTAACTCAGCCGATAGCAAGAATTCACGTACTGGCCCATCCAGTTGTGACCATAAAGCTTCGTAGCATCACAAGCATATCCAGCCAGGTCAACGTGGTAAGTAGCCACATGCTGGCGACGGTTGCAGGCTTCGCAATCTTGTTCAGCGGAGACGTGACTTGAGCGGTACAACGATGCATGATTCAAAGCATCCACCATGTCATCTGGCCACGCCACACCGGAGCGTACAGTATCACGGCACGAACACAGTTTGCGTTCAATCTACAACCACCAAGTCAGAGGCACACCACGCTACATCTCATAACTCCGCAAAAATCCACTTACATGATTGACTGCTTTTTGGTATAGTTGGTACTTCGTCTTGGAACTCTTGCGACGCATCGTGGTTTCAAACTCTGGGTCAATGATACACTCCTCCAGATACTCCATATATATCGCAAACCACTCGCTAACTTCGCGCGAGCGTCCTGCATCCAGCATCGCCCTCAGCTCTTCAGGGTCATCCTCCGCCATCTCGTCACCCGACGACTCGACACTGATCACAGCCTCCTCGTCATCATTCATGTACTCGATCTCATCATCGCCACAGATAAAATCGTCCACGTCATCGCCAGCATCAGCGTAGACTTTCTCTCGGTTGTCCCGGTCTCCAACTCTAGGAACTGAGCGTCGTCTCTTCTTCGGTGGCGGAGAATGCTCTTCCGGCTCGGATTCTTTGTATTCATCATCGTCATCATCACCGCCTCCATTATAATGCGGCCCCAAGCTCTGTAAACTGTCGAGACAATTGTCCAGCACCGGATAGTCCAGTTTGCGTACACTAGCATGCTGCTTCTCCTTCTCCTGGCGCTTGTGTTCAATCCTGGAGCTCCGTCTCGATGCAGAAGACCCTTCAACTTCTATTTCCACCTCTTGTTCGCCATCTGAGTTTTCTTTTGGCTCGTTCTGATCCTTCTCCATTTCCTCATCGCTGTCCTGAATCGCAGGACGGCGGTTCTTGCGCCCGCTGCTGCCTACGGAAGTAGCAGACGGGGGCTGGATAATGCGGACGTCATCATCTTCCGATTCTCCCTCGTCTTCTGCGTTTTCTTGGCCTCCTTCTTGCTGTTGACGGCGTCCACGCTCTCCACGAGCAACGGCAGCCGTAATCGAGAGCTGCTGCATGTTGCGACGTGAGCGACGCGTCGGCGTCGGTGTGCGCAGCGTCATTGGCTGCGAGGATACACCATTTTCACTCAGTAGAAGCTGCTGTTGACGTCGTGGAGCGGAAGAACTGGACGAGACCTGGTTCTCTGTCTTCTCTTTTTGCTCGGCTTCGTCTCCTTCATCCTCGTCGTGGTCCACCATGATGTTGGAGCGGCGGCGCCGCTTGCGTGACTCGGGCGTGATGATGGTCACCTCCTCGTCGTCATCTGTCGAGTCGCCGTCGATCACCACTTCCTCGCGCTCCATCCTTGTCTTAATTCGCCGAGACAATTTGTTAAACAATTCCTCGTATTTTTGGCGGGAAATGCGTGAAAACACTATTCGAATATTTTGTCCTTTATTGTCATTTTATAAGAACAATTTTTTGCAGAAAATAAATTCGGCTGAAATTGACAGATAAAAATTTAAATTACAAACAAAGTCGAATATTCTCATTATCCTCCAATATTCAAGCAAATGGCGGGCAAGCGGAAGCTCAGTAGTGAGGAAGATGCGGCTGCGTCGATGGCGCTGACGCCCGCGGGGCAGACGCAGCTGGCCAAGCGCTCGCGCGTGACGGAGATTGTGGCGGTGGATCCGGCGGTGGTGGCGTCGAAGCGCGTGGGGGACCGGACGTCGGGTCTTATGGCACCCACGATGCTGCTCTCGGGTCATAGTGCGGCCGTGTATTCGCTCAAATTCAGTCCGTCAGGGCAGCACGTGGCATCGTGCTCATTTGATCGCAGCATTTTGCTCTGGGACGTGTATGGCGAGTGCCGCAATTATAACGTATTCAACGGCCACAAGAACGCGGTGCTGGAAGTGCAGTGGACGTACGACAGTGCACAGGTGGTGTCCGCCTCGGCCGACAAGACTGTCGGGCTCTGGGATGCCGAGAGCGGCAGTCGCATTAAGAAGTTCGCAGGCCATTCGTCCATAGTCAACAGCTGCTGCCCTGTGACCAGCGGCCCCACGCTCATCGTAAGTGGCAGCGACGACTGCACCACCAAGATCTGGGACGTTCGCTCTAAGCGCGCTGTCAAGTCGTTCGAGAACAAATTCCAGGTCACAGCTGTGTGTTTCTCCGGCGACAATTCCCAAGTCATTACTGGAGGACTGGACGGAGACATCAAGATGTGGGATCTCCGCAAGGACGAGGTGAGTACAGTGCTACAAGGCCACGCGGACATTGTGACGGGTGTGAGTCTCAGTCCGGACGGCAGCTACTTGTTGTCCAATGCTATGGACTCGACTGTGAGGAAGTGGGATGTTCGGCCGTTCGTCAAGGGGGAGCGACTCAAGACTACGTTCATGGGAGCCAAGCACAGCTTCGATCGTACGCTTATTCGCTGTGGCTGGTCGTCCGACATGCGCTTTGTAGCGAGCGGATCGGCAGATCGCTACGTGTACATTTGGGACGCCGAGACGGGCAACCTACGCTACCACTTGCCAGGACACACAGGCAGCGTGAACGAAGCCACTTTCCACCCCACAGAACCCATTGTAGGCTCGTGCAGCAGTGACAAGACCATTTACCTAGGAGAACTGGCGGAGATGTAGAAACTGACAGAAAACTACAACAGGTAAAGCGATTTACAATCATCCATATTCTACTTAGAATGGTGCACAAAAGTTTTAAGTACCTAATGTCGGTCGGTTTAGAGCTCGACTGCGGGGGTTTGTTGACCAGCGAAACTCTCCCAGATAAGAGGGTAGCCATTATCTTCAAGGCGCTTCTTGAGCTCAAGAGCGTGTTCACTGGACTGCGTCTCGACGACACACTTCACTGCAACGTGAGAGATACTGGCGTGCACCCAGGCACGTTCGTGGTAAATATCCTTGACACTAACACCGAAGTCGCGCAGGAAACAGGTGAGCTGGGCGATACCACCGGGGCGGTCGCTCACGGTGGCCACGAAGCGCACTAGACGTCCATCAGCAGCCAGGCCACGGTCAATGACACGGCCAAGTACAGGGGTATCGATGTTACCGCCAGTCAGAGGCAGCACGACGCGCTTGCCCTTGAGCTCCGGCAACTTGTCGTCGATCAGAGCAGCCAGCGAGGAAGCACCTCCGCCTTCCACAACGACCTTCTCCATTTCAACCAGACGCAACACACTTAGGGCAATCGAACGCTCCGAGACAGTCACCACCTTGTCGACGTATTTGCGGGCGATCTCGAACGCATTCGCACCAACACACGGAACAGCGAGACCATCGGCAAGAGTTGGCTGTGTCGGCATGTTCACGGGCCTGCCAGCCTCCAGCGCCGCCGAATAACTCGAGCAATACTCAGGTTCCACGCCCTGCAATTCAGTCAAGACACTCGTTAGAATAACTCTCACAAACACTGGAAATTGCTAATATAACGTACGATCACTTGGACGTTCGGAGCAAGAGTCTTGACAGCGAGCGCGATACCAGCGATCAAACCACCACCGCCCACAGGGACCACAATGGCATCAACGTCCGGCACTTGGTTCAAAATCTCAATTCCCATAGTTCCAGCACCGGCAATAATCTCGGGACGGTCGAATCCGTTGATGTACACCATGTTCTACAATAAAACACCAACTTGTCAGCCTCCATTTCCAGAAAAATTAACAAAAACCACGTTATTCGTACCTCGTCGCGCACAAAGTCCTCGGCCTTGTCACGAGCCTCCAAAATATGTTCACCATGCAGCACAACGCGAGCTCCGAGTTCACGACAGCGAGCAATTTTGGTGAGCGGAGCAACCCTGGGCATAACACACGTCACCGGAATTCCCAGTAGCTGGCCGTGGTAGGCCAATGCCTGCGCGTGGTTGCCAGCAGAGGCGGCTACCACACCGTTCTTCTTCTCCTCGTCCGACAACTGCAGCAAAGCGTTGCGGGCGCCACGTTCTTTGAAGCTTCCGGTCATTTGTCGGTGGTCCTTCTTGAGGTACAAGTCGATCCCCATACGCTGCGACAGTAGCGGCGAGTACTCGCACTGGGTCTCCTGGATGCCATCGCGAATGCGGTAGGAGGCGGTGCTAATGTCCTCGAAGTATACGGGCTCAGGCAGAACTGGTAGAAGGACGTTGTTAGTTCAATGTGGCAATGACAATGTAGCCATGTTTAGCGAAATACCATCAGGGACGTCAGAGAACGCGCGGGACACCAATGACAGCGACGAGCGAGCACGAGAAGTGGTGGAACGGCGAAAGAGCAGCTTCGTCAGCGACATGGCGAATGCAAGAGTGAGCAGCAACCTCAACGGCGACCACTGGTCCGAGACGGAGGCGTCACCAGCGCGCGTCACATGGAGTCTAATCACCCAGCCATAATCGGCATCCTATCATGCATCAGATCGTTGAAGAAGCCGGAGCCAATTTATCAGAGATTGTAGCCATCTGACGTTGGTTGCAGTGCAACTTGCATTTGTAACATTTCAAGTGCTTTTATCCGATTTTATTAATTTCGTTGTTTTCCTTACTCACAGATACTTCTTCACGTGTGCTGCTAGCGCGTGCTCTTCCTCCGAGTCGCCCAGCGCTACGCCCTCACCGCCAAAGTCCGACGGGATGTTCTCTAGGTCGATCAGCGTCTCCAGTTCTTTCAGAATCGCGCTACCCTTCAGCATGTGGACCTGCATACAGCAAAACACGCATCAAATTACGACACCCTCCTCAAATGCAAGTATGGCTTAGTGACGTACCTTTTCGCGGGTGACGGGGTCAATCATGGGCTTCACCATGCGCCAGATCATGTTGAACCAGCCGGGAATGTTGATGATGAAAATGTGGGCACTGCGTTCGGGATAGTGTGCACCAGTAAACGCGGAGGCACGCTTGATGAAGTCCAGTACTTCTCCACCAAGGTCGTACATGCCGATACCCGTAACATCCAGCACTGTGATCGATCGACCGGAGTCGTTAGGCTCCACAACCCTCCAAAGATATTCCGTGATGTACATGTAGTGACGTAGTAGGTCATCAATCGAGAGGCCCTCACGCTTCAGGGCTGGGAGGTCGATTTTACCCGGTCGCTCGTAGTACACGGGAAGTCCGTCACGAGTCCTGCCGTGGAAATATTGCGGATAATACTTCTTGATGGTCTCGAAGTTCGGGTGTGGTGTCACCAAGATATTGTCGATATTGTTGTCCTTGCGCCATTCCAGTGTAGCCAAGTATCTAGCACGACCTTTTTCTTCGTCTCCCTTTTCTCCTGCAATGAATCGTGGCGAGAATGCGATCGGGCCGCCACTGATCGCGTTTGTTTCCGATTCGGTAATACCGTCGATGTCTGATACTGGAGACGCCGTCTCGGACAGTGCTGGTTCCTTGTCTTGATCTGCTTCAATCACCTCGATCCTGTCGACTGTCAAATGGAACAGGAGCTCATTACCCACAGCAGCCACAGCTTTTCTAGATCCTCCAATCGGGGATAGTACGGGACTCAATCGCTTGTGGCTTTGAGATTCTGATAGACTTGAAAATCAAATCAGCAACGTCAGTTCTGTGTTAGCTGCGGAATCAACAATAATGGAGCTTACCAGACAACAAACTGGGTGATCTGTGACACGGAGAGAATCAAACCGAGTACGATTGTGATCTTCATCAAGCCAACGAAAGGAGTCGCGCAGTAGAACGAGACCAGACAACTTATCAGGAAAAGGCCACCAAGTGTGCCGGGAAACGCCACTGTGAATGTTGAAGGCAACGACGACATCACTGGTTGGGGACCGGAGTCTCGTCGGGATATTTGCATAAGTGGAGCCCGTACGCATCGGAAAGAAACTGTAACCAAAGCAAAACGCTAGTGAATATCCACATAATATACAGTACAATGCCATAAGTAGTGTACCGAAAATTTTGGACATCGATACGATGTGTGGTCGCAGCGGTTGACTGCGAGCCGGTGTTGTCAGCTCAATCTGCTTGGCAGTCGTCAGTAGACTGTTGGTATCGCCTCCCAATAAGCGCTGCGGGATGTGGAGTTCTTCGCCATCACTTAGTACTAAAACGCAGGTGTCCTTCTGCTCGAATGAACCCAACAGGAGCTCCGTGTTCAGCTCCACATTGCGCTTGACTAACCTCTCTGTTGCGGTAGACCCACTTAGAGGACCAGACACCATACTAACGACGAGGACTGTAGGAATCGGACGCTGTAGGCAATACAGACCGTCAGATACGCGGTTTTTTTTTCTCGTACTTATTCGTCGTAAATAAGAACTCTTACCGTCACAGTCGGTGCTGCTGCTACCTCTGTTGGTGATTCTGTCGTTGCTGCAGCCTCAATTTCTTCAAAGTTGCTACATTCGTCGCGAAAATATGAGTTTTTAACCGTCAACCTCAATGTTTTAGCTTCAACCTACCCGGACGCGGCCGAAATGAAGGTCTGCATGGTCTCCACCGTCCATCGCGGTGCGAACTTGACACTTTTACCAGTATGCACCGCGTTATTAATAATACTGACCCAGCTGCTTGCATATTCAAACGAATCGGCGCGCAGGAACAGCAGCAACGTCTTCCGTTTCTGCTCAAAATGATGGGAAACACCACAGAACCTCAGAAATTGACTCTCAACCTCATCAATTCCACTACGCATCATACCGACAGCACTCCAACAAAGAACGACGAATGACCGGGCTCCACAGCCCCCGCTGGGGCGTCCTCGGGCATGACAACCTTGGCATAGCCAATATCTGAGAGCAGCACCTGGCCGCGCTCCTTGCCGAAGAGCTCTGACTCCTCCACCTTTCGGTAATAATGCAGACTGCGCGTGGACAGGATGAAGAGCCGCTTGGCCCAGCCGCCACGCACGGCGCCGTCACGGCGCTTGTCTAGCAACCCCGAGGCCAAAATGCCCAAGTGCGTACCAGGGAACAGACCGGGCAGTGACACAGTGCGGAATCCCTGTAGCGACTGCGTGGAGAAGGCGCCTGAAGTCGAGCTCATACGGCTCAGACGCGGCGACACGCTGCCGCCCGAGGACGTGGTGGACGTCGGTGCCGACGACATGAACAGAGGGACGGAACGAATTAGAGAGATCCAGCGCCGCGCTGTAATGCACGTGCTGCAATGGCAATTGCACGATAAGGTAGTCCGTTTTTGTGTCGAAACGTTACGACTGTGGATTGGCTGAAAAGGGGAGAAGTGGATGAAGTGGGAGTGGATGAAAATCTGATTGAAGATTTGGGTGCACCACACTTGAAGATGTGCGCTACAAAGGATAAGGAAATTACGCGACAGCTGGGTAGAGTCCAACGGGAGGATACTCGCCCCCCATCGTTGGCGCATGCATTCCTGCGCGGCAACCAGTATCCACTAAATGCACATGTATGTCATTGGTCACGCTGTGTGTCATCGCAAAGGCAAGTGACTGAAGGTTCATGACGTGTATCCGTCCTGTACAACCGCCGGTTGGTTCTCGAAGTATGACAGCAGGTTGCTGTTGGTACAATGTACCATCGATCGGTCCGCCCTTCTCCCAATCCCGCCTTCTGATTGGCTGAGCCTCGTCCACAAACAGACGTCGGAGAACAATTTCTTTCCTCGATTTTTCATTTTCGGATCGGCAGAGTAAAGAGCAAGAGAACTCATAACCGCTTCAACCCAGGACAATAATGGACGCTAAGCAGACTGCACTCAAGATCAACTACAAGGGCGAGCTGCACCGCCTGCGTGTGGACCTTGCCACGTTCTCGCTGGAGGCGCTGACCGCGTTGTTCGCCGAGACGTTCAACTTGACCCCCGGCAGCTTCGTGGTGCAATACACGGACGCCGAGGGCGACTGCCTCAATGTGACGTCACAGGCCGAGTACGAGGAGGCCTGCCGTGTGTTCCTGAGCAGCACGGAGGGCTCCAAGTCGCTTCGCTTTGAGTCTGTGAGCCGCACGGCCGTGGCTTTCCAGGAGAACGTTGCTGACCCGATTCTCAAGGCCATTGAGAAGCTCGTGGAGACGCTGAACGTGGCCATGGAGAAGGTCAAGCACGAGCAGTGGGCCGAGAAGGCGCAACAGACAGCGCAGACTAGCCTCAACCACACCAACGAGGCGCTTAAGACCGCGGCTCATGATGCTCGCGAGTCATTCATTGCTGCGCGTCAGAGCATCCAGGAGATCCCGTTTGACCAGCTCGTTAAGGAGACCACCGAGGGCATTAAGTGCGCCGCTGAGGGCATCAGCGAGTTCGCTAAGGAGGTGGTCGGTGAGATCAAGAACATGAAGATGCCGCCTACCCACACGGAGGTCGCTCCTGCTCCGGAGGTGCAGCAGCAGACTGAGGCCGAGGCTGTTGAAACTGCCGAGCCTGCTGAGGTCCCTGTGGTCGCTACTAGCGACAGCGAATGGGAGCAGGTGGCGGAGCAGGAACAGACCCCTGCCCCTGTGGAGGAGACTCCTGTTGTGGTCGAAACCCCCGCTGCCCCCGTCGTGACGGAGGAGGAGCTCAAGTGGGCGGCCGAGCTGTCGATGGTGCGCGACATCTTCCCGGGCGTGGAGACGGCTGTTGTCATTGACCGTCTGGAGCAGTGCAACGGCAACGTGCAGGTGGTGCTGAACTCTCTGATGGAGGAGATGTAAGCTGAAGACAAAAGATGCGACTCTTTCGATGCAAGAAAGATGGTTATGCTTGAAGATCTCGTGCAACTTTTGAGTGCGAAAGCGATGAGAACGTGGAGGTAAGATGGATAGGACTATCCCACCCGAAGAACTCGACGTGACTTTAATCGCGAATATATTTACATTTCCAGAAATTTTGTGGTTTGATATTTGAGTGACTTAGGTAGTTAAGTAGTTAGAGATCTCAAGTATGAGACGAACTCTTTGCAAAAAAAAAACCTCCAGAAGCGACGTGGTCTTTTGACTGCGGGCCTGAAAGGGAGGGTGTTCGCTGAGGCGGCGGACGAGAACCTCTATGTTCGATTGATCGTTAACATGAACGAGATAAAGAAACTAATTCAGTTTCTCCAAACTGGTTCTATATCTGGCCAAGGATGGCTGCGTGGGTCGGATGAATTGGTGGCAGATCTGCGTTGTGGAGAAATCCCTGCTCGTGTTGAAGCCATGACGTAAGGCACTAGAATTCCTGCTTATCGACTGACAAATGTTGCTTTCGAGGAAAGTCCGCCCGGAGGATGTATTCAAAATTGGGGCTGGTTAAATGGAGAAATGGAGCTCGACGATGTGGACAGAACACTCATGTGATACAAGTCTGCAATACTTTTAACTTGAATAGGAAGACAAGACACAATTCCGGACTGCTACCAACACGGTTGATGCTTTAACTCGGAAGGTTGTGAGGAGAACTGTTCGGCTAGCGTTGAGGGCAACATCGACAATGAAGATTCTTTTGAAAACAAAGACGCGAAGAAGCTTATATTACTTGTGGAGGCCAAGTACTTACGTAGTGGACGAGGGTCAAATATCTACCTTCAAGATAAAACCACTCATGGGAGAAGGAAACACGGCTGGATGAAAGGCACTGAGTGAGACCGAGTTTAAGGCGTAAGAATTACCAGGCTATTGTGGAAATTCGCCTAAGTATCTTGTTTGGATTTGTGTCTTGCTCTTGAACTCTCAATATATGCAGCATTTAGAGCAATGTGCTTTAAGTAAAAATATAAAAAGAAAGGAGAGAACCGTTGTCGCTTTATGGAGGACGGTCAAGCTTGTCATCAGTGCAACACCAAAGATGAACGGCAATTTCAGCAGCAGTCTGATGCATTTAACTCGACGACTACACGTAGTTTTTGACTTGAAGTACTTAAGTACATGTACTGCTAAGCAAGATACCACGATCTAATTCAAATAAAAATATCAACTTCCAAGAAAGCAACAACTCGGCATGAACGGCACTCACTAGCAACAAGTGCACTTATTAACAATACACTTTGCTACGGAAACCACCCAAACAAACTGATAGCAACCACAACTTTCTACAGCCTTCGAAGAGTACTGTTGCTTTCTTTATTCTCACCCGTACCGAACCGGAGACTAATTCCATCAAACTGCAACGCCGCTGGTACTCTGGTTGCATTTACTTATTTCTTCGATATGCACGCGACTGCCAGCCAAGGAATTCAAGCACTCGGATTGGCGCGCTTTCCCCTTAACCAAAGGCGTGAGCGATGTTGTGCAGGTAGTTATCAAAACGCTTGAATCGACTGTCAAGGCAGAAGTGAATCGTCTGCTCAAAGGACTCACGAGCACGCTCATCTGACACCTCCGGCGCCAGCGTCGTCACGATGTGGTTGATATCATCCCGTCCCGTCAACTCTGGCATGTCTGCTGGCACCATCAATAGCAAAAGCGACACCAGAAGGTGCATGTGTCTCCGCAGCACACAGTATGCCGTACAGGCTGTGTCTACGAACTTGGCAAAGTCCTTGCCTTCCACTCCACCCAAAACATAAGCCATTTCGTTTGTAAAGACGAACGGAGTGCGCTCGCGACGAATTCCCAACTTGTAGTACTTCAGATGACCCAGAAAGTGGCCGAAATCGATGTGGAAGTAGCGACCGGAAGACGCAATCATAATGTTGTCGTTGTGTCGATCACCAATGCCCAGAACACACGTAGCAACACAGTAGCCAGCGCAGGAGCGACCGAAGAGATCGACAGCAGCCTTGTGGCTTCTCGGATCGGGATTGTTCGCACGAATCCAGTCCGAAAAGCTGGGATCTTTAAACGTGCCCATCATACCATCACGTCTGTGTACCTCAGCAGTTGTAACTGAGTTCGGTACCATCTGAAGAATACCGGTCATTGGGGAAGTTGCCACACACTTGTATGGCTCCATGGCCAAGTCCAGACCCTCATCTCGCCACATTTCATCCATCAGACGGATCAACTGCAGCGTCAAGCAATCTTGCCGCACATCGTCACCAGCCTTGAACATCACCGTGACCGGATCACCGCCCTCCTCGGCATTCTCAAACACCAGCCACAATGGCTTCTTTGCCGAGTCCATCACACGACATTTGCTCACGATAATCTTGCCCACTTCAATACGAGGGTCAAGCGGCAATTGGAACGAACCAGGGAGAAGTTCATTCAACGCCTCCAATCCTTGCTGCATCGCACGCTTCATTTCAGCAGCGCCGTCCTTCTTCTTCGCCTTCACACTCTGGCAAATACGCTCCAGCATTCCACCTTCCGAGAACAGCTTGTCCTGTAGCTTCAGAATAGCACGCATCTTCGAGCTACACACGTCCAGATAAGCATTCAAGATGGTGCCGTATCGCTCACGATACTGGTCGTTGTGCGCTTCCACTTTCATGCTCCAGAACAGATCGAAACCAATCTGGTTCGGGTTCTTAATAGCTCGTTCAATGAGAAGCATGGCTAGCGGCGAAACATGATGGTTCTCGAACTTGATAGCCTGCACCAGTTGCGGTAAGAAGTAGCTGAACGTCGTATCACCCATCTGGCTAAGCTTCTTGACTGCAAAAGAGCGCACGCCTTCATGAGCGAATTCACCATTCAACAGCTCGATATAAGCGGCCTGGTGGTCAGGAACAGACCAACGTGGAAGCAGCTTCAAGGCCTCTTCGCACTCATCTCTATCATCCCAGTGCACACAAGAGAGAATACGAGGAAGCGCTGCCGGAATATCGATGAATTCTTCACGGTGCATCCACAGCTGCTCCTTCTGGTACGGACTGAATCGGTACAACGGATCTAGCAGGATGAGCTTACGCAGTTCATTCAGCTCACCTTCACGCTGATACGAGCTGTGTCCGCTACTGCGCGAGACCGAGTCGCGTCGCTCTTGTGCCACACTCTCCAAAATGTTTCTGCCGTCAAGCTGGTCGTTACTCTCCTCCACTCGTGGGCTCTCAGCCACAGAGGCTGACATACTAGCAGTCGAATCCTCAAAGCTTCCATTGCTGCTTCCAAAGTCACTAATGCTCGAGTCGCCCTTCGCCACGGTCTGAATAGCAAGCATCCACTCTTCACGATCCTGCTTCGTCTCCGCTGAAATGATGTAGTCACGAGACGAACCCATCGGCCGCACCTTAAAACACCAAGTCTGACGGAGTTTCCGCGTACCCTTATTCACTGGAGCAGTCGTAAATTTTTGGTTCATGTCATCAGCAGTCGTCACTGAACAATTGCGTAGAGTAATCAGTTTGCGAGGGGCAGTCTCATCGTCAGCGTAACTCAGCGTGCAAGTGCTCTGGTCCACAACAAACCAACGACGACGCCAACGAGTCAATGACGAAAAGTTGCCCACTTTCTGCAGCCATCCTTCCTTGCGAAGCATCACGGATCGACTGCTCGTGATGATGCTGCGTCGGTGAGAGCGGTCACTCACTGATGATCCATCATCGTCACTCCAGTCGAACTTGATTGGCGCGTCAAACCTGGAGAACTCCAGCTGGATCATTGGCTCATTTGGCAGCGTCACATGAGGCACTGGTCCTTGGATACACGAGTGCAAATTATTGTACATGTGTACGTATTGCTGTCCCTGGACAAGCGTATCATCCACCTCAAATGCGTTCACTCCAGTCACCAGCATCTTCTCCTCAATAGCCTCCATGTTTGAAGAGGAGCCACCAACAACCTTCTTCACACCCAGAACAGTCAGCTGGACGCGCATGGTGCGTGTGATGTTGCAGATGTCGATATTGAACTTGTGCCACATTGGATCGTCCCATTCTGCGTAAAGCAAGTCATTGCGTTGCGCCTTCAAGCGAACATCGGACGTGTCGATCACAGCGTTTTCCAGTAATTGGCCGCCATCATACAGTTCAATGCGAACAACCACACTCGAGCTGGTCAACGGGATCCGGCTCACAATAGCTTCTTCACTGGATCTCTTCCTCACACACGTAGTTCGAGGAATGTTCAGTACACGACGGATACGGATAGCGAATGGCTGCTGGATAACTCCACTGGGCAACGACAGGTTGCGATCAATCGAAGGCCGTTCCCATTCGTCTCCCAGTGTAGTCATCTGTAGCGATGTAGCTCGCTCTCCATCGAACATATCCGCAAACTGGCTTACAATGTTGTTCATCGATCCAGTACTAACGGGTAGGTCTCTGCCGATGCTCAGATTCATCATTGCCGTCTCCTGGATCACTGATTCGTGAATCACAGTCAAACGAATGGTCTTCTTGGTTAGAAGACACTCACGAACGTGTACATACTCGTTCAGTACACGGAATCTGTCGATCATGTAGTCACGGTATCCTGTGATCTTCAGTCGATACTCGGCTGGGTTGTACGGTCTCAACGGAGCAGCATCCAGGGCCTGTTCGTAACAGTTAAAGATATGCTCCACAATCTGGCCAACTGTATCACCTGTAGTGACCACCATGCGAACATCCGTGATGGCTTTGGCGCTCACTTCTTGCAACTGGAACATGCGCTTGTATGTGACGTGAACAGCGCTAAACTTGACCACGTCGCACAGTCCCTTAAGCCAGCGCTGGTATTCCGGCTCTGAATCGGCACAAATTGCCCATGTACGAGCCGTCGTCACCAGTAGAATTCCGTACGGCTCCGACTTGGACTCCATGGGCTGCAAGGACGATACTCTGTCCAAGTCAATGCGTCCGCGCTCCAATGTCTTCTTCTCATCTCTACTCAACGGGATTCCGTTCTTCTCGGGCTTCTTCTTGTAATAGGCGAGCACACTGCCATTGAGTTCCATGTATCTCTTCTTAAAAGCCTTGTTCTTCTCTCCCTTCTTACGGAGATATCCCCCCATGTGGTTGCTCATGGATTGTGTTAACGAAATGGGTTCATCCGTGATGATGAGGTTGGCGGGGATACGCGCCACGGTCTTGAGCGGCGTGATGAGTGCGAACTGGTTCTTCTGGTTGGAATTATGGGCGATCCAGTCGCTTTCCTCCACTTTAAACTCGGGGGTATTGGCTCGAACTTCCAGTTCCGCGGGGGAGATCTCTTCGTGCGCCGCCTTAAGCACTTTTCCTACGGCAGAACGGAAGTACAGCGACTCCTTCGAGTGGAAAAGGTCGGGTACAGGCTGCCAGCGCTTATCGTCGCCCATCATGCTGCGCCCTGCCTTGGCATACGGGTTTAGTGCCTCGAACGACGGCACGAGCCCCGTGTCCACGTTGCGGAAGCTCGCGCCGCTCTCGTAGCTGTTATACGCCGCGGAGATGAAGGATGTCGCCGTATTGCGTATTGAGCTGCCGGAGCTGCCGCTCGACTGCAGCACCGACTGCATCGACTGCCGCGGGTTCAGACTGAACATCTACAGGGTGATATTAAGGTTAGATTCGGCGCTAAACGAGTTCGAGATCGCTCAACTTTGGCGTACCGTGGCCGATGGAGCTGCGAATTAAGCACGTGCGGTCGGAGGGAGCACACGCTATCGCTATTGCCGAGACTGGACTACGCTTCCACTGGCGCCTCTATTCCGCTGTGTGGCCCCCCAAATTTCCTTCTCAATTCCCGCAAGCTGATATTTAGCTAATCAACGGTGTTTTAGCAATATAATACACCTAACCGCCCATCTATTTCGCTGATGCAACTTGCGGAAACGCATGTCAGGGGAGAAGAAGATGATAGCGAAAATGGCGGGGCTGGCTTGTCTGTCAACCATAACTGATCTATATGGAATTGTGGAAGGTGGGTTCAGATTCGACAGCCTGCTTATTTTTATATTTGAATAATTGGCTACACAAATAACTAGTCGTGAGAGCACCCTCGATTTTTTCGTGCGAGATCGGGCCTTTGAATAATTGCAGTACCTATCCGATAAGCTAGCTGCAGACCACCGACATGTTTGCTCGAAGGCGAAGGCATGCATCCAGCTGCAAACAGCGCATCCAGCTGCAGTATTCGAAGCCGCTCTGATTACGGGGCCCATTCTGCCGATTGCTACATATTTATGTGTCACTAAAGTCACTAAAGCGGAGGAGAAAACACAAAGCTACACTTTTAGTCGATTCGCGCAATAAGTTGCACCGATGGCAGCCTGGCAAGCGCTGCCAAAAGAGCAACGACCAGGATCTTCGCTACCGGCGCTCTGTCACCGCAACACGCAGTGGTGGAGTCGCACATACGGCCATGGAAATAAACCCGTAGCGAATGAGAAGTCATCTCCATTTGATGCTTTCTACCGGGCTATTCGCGACAACCAAGTGGAGCGAGTGCAGAGCTACATCGCTCAAAATCCCACAGCTGTGTTCACCAAGGTGCGGAGTTGCTTGGTTTCATGCTGCAATACAATCTTACACCTGCTCGTAATTGTGGATGGCATTTGCTCAACAATGGATAGGTCTTTGTAAGTGTGTTTTCATTGCTTAGGTCTTCTACATGTAAATGAACGAAACGTGTTGCTGCTGTAGGGCGAAAACCAGGTCTGAGACACATGCATGTGCGACGTCGTGGCTGTGAAGCTAATCTGTTTGGGTTGGTGGGTGCCAGCGGACGGCATTGTACGTCGCAAGCTTCTTCGGTCGCCACAAGGTCGTCAAACTGTTGCTGCATCGCGGCGCCGACAAGTATGTGCGTCAGTCCATGGGAATCGGACGGCCTTGTGGGCTAACTTCAGTTGTGGTATGCATGCACCGTAGGAATCTGCAATGCCACGGCGTGAGGCCGATCGACGTGGCCGGCTTCGCATCAACCGACCCGATTGACCGCATGAAGGTGCGAGCGCTGTTGGAGGGTACGAATTCTGTAGCGAAATGTGTATGGATCATTACCTTAGCTCCGTGCTCGTCACACGTGGTAGGCGCTTCCTGCCCTCAAGTCATCCTGCGGTTAAACAACGCGCATTCGCCCGGTTCTTCTCCTGGCAGCGCCGCTAGCGAAGCACGCCGCTTTCGGGTGGAAATCCACTTTAGCGAGTCCGTGGACGAGTTCACACAGGAGGACGTCACGGTGAGCGACGGGTGCGATGTGACGCACTTCTTGATGCTACGCAGGGACTTGTACCTCGCGACTGTGCAGCTCGCCAAGGGCAGCCGCGAAGCCAGTGTTGAGATTCTTGCGGGTGCAGCGCGGGCAGCGGTCGGCGGCCGTTGCAGTGCGCGATCTAGACCGTTGCTGTTGCAGCTGGCCTAATAATGAACGCTTTTCCTTGCTTTCCTCGCCCCAGCTGGCCTCATCGCGATACTGCGACCATCCCGTGTTTCCTTGCCACTGCAAATTTCGTCGAATGCGGACCAAAAACGGCTAGGTGTGGGTCAGTTAAAAAGCCCTGGAAAGATGGGCGACATCATCTTTTGTTTAATGGAAAGGAGAGTAAATATCGTTCAATCTGACGTGTCACCCCCTTCCGCACGTTGGCCAAAAGCCTGTTTTATCGCGGGTGGGAATTGGGGCAGAGGTGTCTTTCATACAAGAAGCTATACTTTTTCGACGATGGATGGGTCTGCGGCTTTCATCATGTCGGCTCGCCTGATCGGGAAATGAAGACCCGAACACCACTCAGTTGGCGTAAAAGAAGCCCCCCATTTGGAAAAGCCCCCGTGCCCGAGAACAAGAAGCCAGTGGCCCCGTCCTACCACAGCTATGAAGAAGTGCGTGCGCTGGTCAACCGTCACTGTGTATGAGTTTGGAGTGGGTTTGGGAGGTAGCGCAGTGCCGAAACACGGCGGGCCGTCCATCGGACTAGCGAGCAAGCCGCGCTGTGTATGGAGCACCCCACTTGACGACGCCTCCTTGGCGGAGCGCGACGACGTATTAGAGGTGGACGAGGCGATGCACTCCCCGCCAAGGACGACGAAGAGTGACGGCAAGAAGGCGAAGAGTGACAAGCCCAAGCGCACCCAGAGACGCCGCAAGGTGCGCTGGCTCAAGCCGCTGGAGCGCGTGACGATGCTCACCAAGGCCGGATGTAGCGAGAAGCGCATCTACCGCATGATGATGGAGTCGTCCGAGATCGCCATGTCCAGACGTCTCACGCTGCGAGTGCTGAACATTTAGAGCGAAGTAGGAGCTCTTATTTGAAGTTGTCCGTTCTAGTCCAAGCGCGTCTCACGTAAAGGCCAAGAGGGAGATTTATTCGCGCTTAGTTGAGCGGAGCGACGAGTCTAGGAAGTGCCATCGGAAAGTGAGTGGCGAGCACTCATTGATGGCCAGTAATTTGTACCATAAGCCATAATTTACAAGGAGGAAGATTCCACGATGCCAATGCTACTTTGTTCTAGCGTGCCTACCCGAAGATATTTTTGTGTCATGGGATCCTGGATGGGCAGTCGACTTTACCACCAAGAATAGTCGAGCTTATCGAGGTTGCCGGGAGCATGACATGCTAGCTTTAGCTGTTAGTCAATTTGTGTCTGAGCTTCTAGGACATCAGCATGTCGTTGTACACGCTCAAGCACTTGCTGAATGACTGTAGTACGCGGTTGTCGCGCACGAAATTTGCAGCCGAGAAGAACCGTGAGACGCTGGAAAGTGTCTGGCGCGCTTTTAACGATTGGATTGAGTCGCGCTTCAATCAGGGCAAGGTACGGCTGCAAAGTGCTAATTAATTACTTCGTTTGCACTGATCTTCTTGTTGCAGGGGGTACACATCGCCACATTTGCGACGATCACATGGGAGACGTTCACGAACTCGCGTAACCAGCCGAAGCTGCGACCCATTTTCTTCCTGTCCGACACCTTCACCAAGACTTACGTGCTCTCACAGAAGCGACCGCCTTTACCCAGTGCGAACCTGGCATCGCTAGAAGATATCAACTTTACAAAAATTGCCATAAAGTTCTCGCGCAATCTCACCAAGGACCTCGTCTTCTGCGCTATCCGAGACTTGGTACAGAAGATTGGCATGGTGGCGAGTACAGGTGTGCCAATGTCCATAGAATTCAGCTTTGGCCGCTTGATCGCCAAGAACCGATGTATCTCCATGCTTTTTGACCCCCAGAAGTTCCCACGAGCACTCGAAGACCATATCGCACGCTCGATGATCAGCAGCCCGCCTTCCACTCTGGGTAACCTGGACGACTTTAACATTTCACCTGAAGATATGGTCGACTACAATGACGCAGTCTCAACTCCCGACAGGAACGAAGGCACAACGGGAGGTGACATTACTAACATTGCTTTCCCTACAGACGATCAAGAAGCACTACCCACGAACCGCAGCGATCCTGACAACATCATTGGCACAGACGTGAGTATTGAGGAGGAACTGCAAATGTATGACGCACTACTCTCCCCAGGCTCAGCCAAAAGCGATAGCTCAGCAAAACATCGTGTCATGGAGTCTGCCTTCAAGCGGCATATTTCAAAGCTGGCTAACGACGTGGATTTGGAGGCAAAATACGCGTTCGACTTGCTACTGCAACAGCGACGTGACTTAGATACAGTGGCGCTGGAAAACAAGATGCGGCGATTGTGTGCTGAGGATCTCCAACGACACATACAGATGCAAATGCAACAGCGTGAGGATGTGATAGCAACTGAAAAACATCAGCGGAGGATGATCGATCCGAAGGCCTGTACATTCTTCTCTGAAAGTGAGCGCACGCGCCAAGGTTACGATGACCAGCGTTATCGAAACCGCGTGAGGGAGCAGCTCAAGCATCAATTACAGGACCAGATATCTAACAAAGAGCAGGATCGCATCAGTACCAAGCAGAAGCTGTTGCAGGACGATCAACAGTTTTTGCGGCGAGTGCGTAATGAATTGGAAGCGATCGAAAAGAAACAGGTACAGGACCGCGAGGAGCTGCGAAAAGCTCTCACAGGCTCATGGAACCGCGACTGCGGCATGAAGAAGCTTGTGGAGGTGCGTAAGAAGCAGAAAGCTGCTGAACAGATTTATCGCGAGGGAGTGGGTATCATTACGACACCGCGTGACCATTTTCCAACCCTGCTGAAGCCGTCGACACCCAGAGTCTGTGTCGCGAGGCAAGATGATGACTACTCAGTAGGCTTCGACATTCGTTCCACATGCGGAGATTGAGGAGGATGGTGTTGCGTGAAATTAACGTAAACTCATGCAACGACATTAACCCGTTGATAAGAGCATGCTCTAAGAGCAGTTCCGCCGGGAATAAAAGAGGAAAATAGTATGAAACGAGTCGTGTTGTTCATTGAGTGTTGCCGGTGTGCAACTTACCCGCTGGACAATATGGTCACAAACAGCCGTGAAACGACTAGCTAAAAGATAATGGCGATTTGCAATAACTTCAACTTGGCAGACAAATGAATCGTGCGTGGCATGAGTTTGCGAAGTCCACTTGCCAGTTGTCGCGGTGTGAATCGGCGCTATTCTCAGCCTACATGGTGTGACGGCAACACGAAAGCACGCAATAATTCATACTTGTATGCAGTGGTTATCACGTATTCAGCGCTTCTCAACTCCCTCCAGCACCTGCATACTACAAATTCATTTCTTCCATCGTATCCTTATAAACAGGATCATCTTCAACAGGTTAACCCAAAGGTCGCTTTCGATGGGTTCATATAGCAAAAAGCTTAGTAGGCGAGTGCCACCTTCACTCTGCAACTCTCCACCCAAGAGAAAGAACAGAATAACCACGTCATTAGGTCCCGCTTTAAATCCCCCCCCCCGCCATGTTCGGACGTACGTCCACGCTCTCAAGCCACAGCTCCATGGAGTCATCCTCCAGCAGCTCCACGTCGCTGTCTTCGTGCTACGCGGCCTACGAGACTGGCAAAAGCTTCGCCAACGTCGACAACTCGCTCGTACCGTCCTTTGCAGCCATGAACCCGTTGGCACACGCTGGGAAGAGCTCAGACGGACAGCGCTGGCAGCCTGTGCCCGGTCTCTACCACTGCAAGGAGTCGCTGTACTTCCGCTCAGCCGTGGGGCAGCTCCTGCAACAGGCGCACACCGAGATTTCCCCCACAGACCTGGAGGTGCGCGCTAATACGCCCGAGTTCCGCGTCGAGGACGGCGACTGGGTGGCCCACAAGAACCAGAGCAAGTTCGCATTGGATACGCCGCAGTTCCTCAACTGTGTGGCTCGGATCCCGGCAGCGCTCATCATTTCCCAGCACCATGTGTCCCATGCGGTCCCCAGCAATGTTGTGGGTGGAATCTTGAGGAAACGAGGCGAGGGAATTAAAGCATTTAAAAAGAGATATATGGAACTGGACGGCAGTGTGCTGGCATACTACAAGAAGAAGCCGGAGAAGCACGGGATTCCTCTCAGTCGAGACGAGAAGAAAGCCTATGAAAGAGGATGTATCGATCTAGACAGGGTTTCGTCCCTGCAGCCCATGGACAACAAGTCGGAGCCTTATGGCTTTCTACTCGTCACAACAGCTCGAACGTGGGTTCTGGCTGCAGACTCGGAGACTGAATACCATCGATGGATCAAGGCATTGTGTGGGGTGGTCAAGTTCAACGCTATTCATGTTATCTATAAGAGGCAATTCCAGTTGAGAGAGGTGAACGCCCAAGCTATTACAGATGTGAGGATGGCGGTGACTACCAGTGATACAGTGGGGGAGATCGTGGAACACATTTTCAACTGCTACAAGCAGGCGCTGGATGCGGCGCCGCTGAAACCATACGATCCCACCGAGTATTTATTGAAAATCACAGGATTTCGAGACTACATGATCGATCGCTACAGGATTTTGAACGAGTACGTTCATGTGCGAGAGTGTTTGCTGACGAAGAAGACGATCAGACTCACAGTGGTGCACAAGTCGATTATTCGAGAGACGGCGATGCTGAATCTTAATATTCGCAACAACCTTCAGCTGGCAGGCGACCCAAGAATGAACAAAAGCTCGAACCAACTTGAGGAAGCCATGGAGACAGAGAGATCTGCGTCGCTACAGATGACAACGTTAGGAGAGATTGAGTGGGACCAGTCTCAACCGTGCCGAAAGGGTCCCATTCCTAGCGTGACAGTCCAAGCGCCTTTTGCGATCCGGATTCATCGAGTGCTCAATATTCCGCGTACCACATGTGTGCTGAAGAGAACCAGTGAAGCCGCCAACGTCAGTCGTGTTGAGCTGGCCAGCGCTAGTGTGATAGTTCGCATCGCACTTTATGACGGAGGCCAGTTGCTCGAAAATGCCGTCGTGGACACAACCGATGTACGTCTGAAAGCACAACGGAATGATCTGCTGTTTGTCGAGTGGAGCAACCCTGTGTGGCACAAATTCAACCTTGATATTTGCGATGTGACGCGTACTATGCGTGTGGAGTTGACTGTGATTGGCATCAAGAAGATCATTGGCGGTCCTAGATCAAACGGACAAGAAGAAAAAATGCTGGTGACTGGAATTAATGCGTTCGAGGTTGACGGAGTGCTGGTGCAAGGCTCAAGCTACGTTCGAATGCTGAATAACTTGCACTCTTGCGTCCAAGGACCTATCCCGCATGTTGCATTGCCGAACGAGCCGTTGATCCACGTTGAGTTCTGCAAGTTTGATGCTCCTATCGTATTCGATTGGAGTGAGAACAATGTGGTTGCAGCAAGTGTACGTCCGCACCGAGGAAGTATCGTCCAAAGTAGTCGGTCCAACATGCTGCACAAGGAAGGATGGCTGCGTAAGGTGGGGAACTACAAAACGTTAACCCGTTGGCGACGCCGTTGGTTCATTCTGGACCAGGGCTCGTGCACGTTGAGCTACGCCGACGATGAGACTGCATCACGGAAACAGATTTCGCTGAAAAACTGCTCAGTCAGCACGGCCGATGACATGAACCAGACATTTACTACAGCGCCCGTTAACAGCGGGACACGACGAGTGCGTCAAACGTGGTGCTTTAAGGTGCGACCAATGGGTTCGTCAAGAGATTATATAATGTCGGCGGATACAAAACAGTCTCGTGAGGCCTGGATGCTTGCAATTCAAGCGGTAGCGAATAACGGGACTGTGTTCAGCGAAACGATCACTCTTAGCGAGACCAACAACGGCGACGTGTTGCTCTTTGAAGAAAGCCCGCGCGCCAGCAATGCCAGTGAAATGTTATCCAGACTAAGTGTATCGTCCAAGCAGCGTCGTGAGTCTGGATCATACAGTAGCGACAGCTCCAATCAGCGTGACTCGTGTGTACGAGATCTGCGCAAACTCATTCTACTGGACCCACTGTATAGCTTCAGTCCGTACCAGAAGGATCAGCTATGGACATACCGAGAGGAGCTGATCGACATGTTCCCAGCACTGCCTCGTGTGTTGACGTGTGTTCACTGGGATGACCCCGTGGAGACTGAAGAAGCATTGTCGTTGTTGCCGCGCTGGGCTGAGCCGGACCATCAAGCGGCGTATATTGAGCTGCTTAGTGGTGAATTCGCTCATGAAGGCGTGCGCACCTTTGCAGTACATAAGCTCGGTCTGATGGCTGATACGACATTCAGCTACTTCTTGCCGCAGCTAGTGCAAGCCATTAAGTATGAGAACCATCATGCTTCACCGCTGGTTATGATGCTAATCGCGAGAGCTATCAAGAACCCGAACCAGATTGGTTTCGATCTGTTCTGGAGCATGAAAGTGGAAGCGCACAACGACCAGTATCGTGAGCGATACGGCACCATCTTGAATGCTTATCTGGACGTGTGTAGCTCGAAGATGCGTGCTATTCTGAAGCTACAGGACAAGCTGTTCTCGGAAGGTGGAATGCTGGAGCGTATTTGCCAGAGTGTGAAGGCGAAGAAGAAGGACGGCGCTGCTGAAATGAAGCGTGCGATGCAGCAAGGATTGGAGGCGTTGAATGAACTTCTCCCTGGTTCGTTCCAATTGCCGCTTGACCCTCGTATTGAAGTGGGCAAGATTATCGTGAGCAAATGTCGTGTGATGGACTCGGCAAAGAAGCCATTGTGGCTGGTGTTTGAGAATGCCGAGGAGGGCGGTGATCCGGTCACGGTGATGTTCAAGGCTGGTGACGATGTGCGGCAAGATTGCTTGACGCTGCAGTTGATCCGTCTGATGGATGAAATGTGGCGAGAAGAGGGTCTGGACTTGGCCATGGAACCTTATAAATGTGTGGCAACTTCCCCCATGACGGGCATTCTTCAGATTGTGCCGAACTCGGTTACAACTGCTGATGTGCACAAGCGCGGCGGTATCATGGGCTCTTTTAAGGATCCGATTTTTGCAGACTGGATCCACGCGAATAACCCGGATGCAAAGAGCCACAAGCGAGCCATAAACCTGTTTACACGCTCCTGTGCAGGTTATTGCGTTGCCACTTACGTCCTCGGAATTGGAGATCGTCATAACGACAACATTATGGTACGTTTTACCCGATCGGATTTCGAACGTAGTACTAATGTTGACGGCTTTTTTCAACAGATTTCATCAGCAGGTCGATATTTCCACATCGACTTTGGCCACTTTCTGGGACATCTCAAGTACAGCGTACGTTTGATTCTACCGCTTGTTGTTTGCTTCAAGATTACATTTAACTTTTTCTTTTTTTGCAGATGGGATTGGCGCGAGAGCGCTCCCCGTTCGTATTCACGAAAGAAATGGCCTATGTCATGGGCGGAACTGAAGGGAAGAACTTCCGTACGTTTATAGATATCGCCAGCATCGCCTATAACGTTCTGCGGCGACACATGCACCTGTTAGTATCACTGCTGCTCCTCATGGTACCTGCTGATATGCCTGAGCTTACGGGTCGTGATGACATCAACTACATCGTGCAAACTCTGAGACCCGAGCTGTCGGAGGAGCAGGCATGTGAGTCACTCAAGAAAACTGTCACTGATTGCCTGAGTAGTTGGTCCAGGCGGTTTGACAACACCATTCACAACCTCGTTCACTGATTTAGATAGTTACAGTAGCACAGGGGAAATTCGTAGGCCTACCTACGTTCAGAAAATTTAAGAAATATGAAAGTAATAAATGTACACGATTGTTGCAGTGGTTTGCTTTTGCCTAGTATATCGAGCAAGTTTAACCGCAGAATAGCATGAATATTAGCGTTGTAGTCTCCGAGATATTATAATGAAAGTTTCGATGTCTGCCTCATACCACTTTGGCGATATGAAGTGTTAATCTGTCGGACAACACTGGATCGGCCATTTTTCTTTCTTCTCGTATGTGTTAGCCGTGCATGCCATTTTATTTTAACAGTAAAGCACGGCCTGAGGAGTTCCTTTTAATACGCACAGGGCGAATATGACGTAAATTCTTGACAGATTGAAAACTACTGTACTTTACTTGAAGTAATACTTTTGTGAATTTCGTCCAAATTTGCTGAGTGTTTGACAAGCTGGAGGGCAATCGCCCACATACAAATCCAAGTCATTAGTAGAACCCACCACGGCTTTTCTTGCATGATCTTATTTCGTTCTTAAACGGGTCAGTATATGGAATTGTAAACGCTGGGCGATTTGGGGGAGGTTCATTCAAAGAACCGCCCATGGAAATTTTGAGTAAAACCCACAATACGTACCATCAGCTTTTTACCAAATTCGGAGAATTCTTATTTTCGAGAAACTGTTCTGCACAAAAATCAGTGCAACCGTTTGATTTCTTTATCGTAGCTACCTACCTAATCAATCCATGACAGTGTTCCTCCTCTTTCGTTGCGATCTCTAAGCCACGATATCCGTGGAACCGTACTCGAAAGTTTTCGCCAAGTCCGCCTTTTCCTTATCCTTCGCCGTCGCCGGGTCTTGAATCAAAGCAGTGAACTCGTTGATTTCAGGTAGTGAATCCTGCTGCACCATCGCCATATTCGATGGAGAGAGTCGACCCTGGTGGAAGGAGAACGACTCAGTGATCGCAGACTTCGACCGCAACTTCGCGTACGGCACTTGACGCCAAGATCCGTCTTCCAAGTTCTCCGGAATGTGCGAAAGACTCGCACCTCCCGTCACGAAATAGTACTGACTGCGGATCAGGACCGTGAGTTCCTCCTCAATCTGCAGAAGCCGCGCTTCCAGGTCAATATCATTGGCATCCAAACCAAAGGGACATTCGATTTCCATGGCAACTTCGTCGGCCATAAACAGGAATGTGCCCCACAAAAAGACCCAAATCGGCGTGTATAGTCCCGAGTTCGGCACGATCACGAAGGTATACAGCAGCATGTAACTTGCCAGTAAAAACTGCAGGTACTGCATGTAGTTGAAAGGAATCGGGACGTTGGCAATGTTGAATACCGTAGTGTACAAATTCGGTAGTTGCGCGATCTTGATCTGCAAATTGTTGGCGTTTGGCAGTGTCAGGTGTCCCCGTCGAGTAGCAACTTGTACCAAGCGCTTGAGCCAAAGCTCGGTGATTGTGGCACGGAGTTTGTGTGGAGTACGACGAACCAGAGCACGATATGATTCTTTATCCTTCACTTCTTTCTTGTGTTCCGAGCCGCAAGCGTATAGCTCGTCGTATTCAGCGTCGGTCAACACACCAGAGTCCTTCAACCTGTCGATACCGTCTCGACCACGACAATCGTGGAATACGATAGCGATGTACAGGAATACTAGACGACGTAACTCCGTGAAAAATGTGCACTTCTCCAAGACATCGCGAGGAATAGGTTGATGCTTGTGGCCGAGGTGCTTACGCTTCTTGCCCAGCTCGATCTCTTCCTCCATTGTCCGGCCACTGCGCTTGGCTGCCTCAGCAATAGCTTCGTCGTTCGTGTCCTCTACGTTGTGCTCCTTGAGTTCTTCTTTGATGGTCGTGCTCACGTACGCACAGCCAGAGCCTACAATTTCGCGTGCAGCCTCAGATAGTGCCCCTATGGCCACCATTCCAGCTCGCCATTGCGTGAAGGCCGAATTCAACCGGAAGGAGATGATAAGACCCAGGAACGTGTTGAATACCGTCAACGAGTCCGTGAACGCTGTCGAGTTTCGCGTGGCCACCACGAACGGGTGGTAATGGTTCGTGACTGCAACAACCAACGCAATCATCGCCATGATCAGTGCACGCATTGGTGCTTGACCGTTCAACGCCGATCCATGCCAACGGAGCAAAACACCCCACAACCGCGACGTGTCATAGTAAATCATGATTCCTCTTCTTCGCGGTTTACGAAATGATTCACCCCGAATGAAGTTTTTCCAACGCCGTGGCGCAAACCTCTCACATCTTCCAGGCACAGGACACCGCTGCTTGTATGGATATTACACCAGATACTCTCACAGGAAGGTCCTGCCCAGGAAGCGTGCACCAGGTCCCCATCACCAAGTCCAGAGCGGTGTGCAGAATGCCCCCATTTTTTTGAGGCCCAAAACCCATCCAGCTGTAGTAGCTTCACCGATCATGATTAATCCAGCAAACCATTTCCAAACCGTGATAATTCCCAGATTCCAACTACACAGCCGACCTTAGCGAGCCATTCCCCTTTGCTGCGTTTGCTTGGGAACGTTTATTGCTCAAATCGAATGCTAAATTGATCCTCGATGCCTCTTTGCTATTACAAGTTCATCTGGTGTGTGTGTGGGTGCCAGCTGCAACTATGCGGTCATACAGCTGGGGATATGTCCTTACGGCATCCAGATGCTTGACAAGTACGTATGACCATATCGTGTCGCTGTGAGCTCCTGTGCTCTCATGGCTTGCCCTCTTCCGTTTTGTCAGTCCTGAAAACTTCCGGCAGCATTCAAGTCCACCCAGGATGATCTACTATGACACGTCGCACTTGTGGGGAGTGTTGATGCGTTGGCATGGATCTGCGTTGAATGGACAAGCCCCGATGCGTGCATTCATCATGGCTATGATCGCGTTGATCGTTGCTGTTGTGAACCGCTATCACCCCTTTGTGGTCCCAACCCGAGATTCGACGGCGTTTACCGACTCGCTCACAGTCTTCAACACGTTTCTCGGCCTGATCGTATCGTTCCGCATGAACTCGGCGTTCACACAATGGCGGGCCGGTGTGGTTGCTGTGGGCTCACTCTCGGAGGCAGCACGTGACATCGTAGGCTCAGGCTGTGCGTACGTGAGCACAACGATCAAGAACGAGCTTACCGAAGCTACTAACAAAGCAGAGCCCGAGCATGAAGGTAGCACCAAAAACGACAACTTCAAGGCATCAAACATTCCTCAGGATGTCCTCGAGAAGTGTACGTTTTTCACAGAGCTACGTCGTCTAGTGTTTCTGTATATTGCCATCGTATTCCACGACTGTCGCGGCCTGGACGGGATCGACAAACTAAAGGAGGCAGGAGTGCTCACGGACGCCGAGTATGACGAGCTTTATGCATGCGGATCGGAACACAAGATGCAGGTCGAGGACAAGGAGTCCTACAGAGCGATTGTTCGCCGTACTCCTCACAAGCTGCGTGCTACAATTACAGAGCTCTGGCTCAAGCGACTTGTACAGGTTGCTACGAATCGAGGACACCTCACTTTGCCGAACGCTAACGCTCTCCAGCTCAAGCTTGCAAGATTGCCCAATCTGTACACAACCGTGTTCAACATTGCCAACGTCCCGATCCCTTTCAACTATATGCAGTATTTACAGTTCCTGCTCACAGCGTACATGCTACTCTACACGTTCGTCATTGTACCAAGGTCTGGATTGTACACTCCTTTATGGGTATTCATGTGGGGAACATTCCTATTCATGGCGGACGAAGTTGCCATGGAGATCGAGTGCCCGTTTGGCCTTGACGCGAATGATATCGACTTGGAGGCGAGACTTCTGCAGATTGAGGAAGAACTGACAGTGTTGATTCGTAGTCAATACTACTTCGTGTCGGGAGGTACAAGTCTTACACGCATTCCAGAGATCTCCGTTCCTGAAAATTCGGAATCTCAGGACAAGCCCCTGCCGATGTCTGTGCCTCTCCAAAGTGATTTCTCGTTTCACCAAGGCCGCATATCACCCTCGCACGGTGCCATGCTTCAGCAGAGATCGCTGCCCGAGATTAACGAGTTCACAAAACTTATCGAGGATCCAAGCGGGACTAGCAGCAACAATAGCAATAGCTACGGGTCGGATTCTGCAGCTTAGGACCTATGCTCACCAAGTCGAAGTCGTGAATTGTTTTCAATTCAAGTACATGTTGATGCAATTCCCTAATTCCTCGTTGAGCTGCAGCTTTGCTAAAACAAAAGCAAAAAAAGGAGAAAACACACACACAAAATAAAAGCAATTACTTTGGAAACAATAATGTTTTTTAAAAGAAACTATTGTTTTGCAAAATTGTTTCAAAATAGTGTGAGGCAAGCGCTGCTGCTTTGCCATTGCACAGTCCCATGGTCAAGGCCAGCGACCACAGCGCCGCCGAGGTGAAGCGCGTGAATCAGCAGCTTGAGGAACGCCACTACGAGTTCCGCTCCAACTGCAATGACGGTAACGGCGACGCCAGCGCCTGCCACAGCTGGGGTGAGTGGCTTGCCGTCGTGGACAAGAACTACAAGGATGCAGGTACCAGCAGCACCTTCAAATAGCTCTAGCGACTGCGCAGTGCATTGCGGTGCTGACGTTTTGCATTACAACTGCGCGTCTTGCTGTTGCAGCTAATATGTACGAGCTTAACTGTTCCAAGAACGGATACCCGGCCTCGTGCTTCAACCTCGGACGACTGAAACGTACGCATCATTAATGCTGGTTAAATTGCAGCTAGTATTAGCATATTCACTACTTTATCATGAAGTTGCTGGCAAAGGGGCGGAGCATGATGACCTGGAAGCTTTCAAGCTCTTCGGTAAGTTGATCCCCCCCCCCAATAAATTGTGTCACATATGAACTAACTAATATACTCATACTGCGTTCGAATCGGCCAGAGAAATCGTGTTCAGGTGGCCACGCTGCTGCTTGTCACCATGTGGGCTTTATGCGTACACAGGGTATTGGCTGCGAGAAGGTCGGAACAGATCGAATTGTTGACCGATACAAAAATTCAGTACTAACGATTTATTTTTTGTCCAGGATTTCCCTAAAGCTCTTGCGGCTTTCAAGGAGGGATGTGAGCGTGACGACGCCAATAGCTGCAATCGCGTGGCGACCATGTATTTGCGTCCAGGACCAAACAGCCCGATCAAGCGCGACATTCAGCAGGCGAAGACATACCTGGAAAAGGCTTGTGACGCCAACTTTGCCCCTGCGTGCCACAACCTGGCTGTGATGTACAAGAAAGGCGACGAGAGTATCCCGAAGGACCAGGCCAAGTACGAGGAGTACCGTGCCAAGACGGAGCAACTCATTAAGCAGGCGGGCGGCATGTCTTCCATCAAGTCGGCTTAAGTTAGACTGCAAAATCCTAGACTTGTTACAACGTACTACGTCAGTACTACCTCTTCGATATCCGAGTCGTCGAAGCTCATTACGCTGTCAATTTGATCGTCTTGGGTGGTGGCAGGAGGAGACTCGCGGCTGATTGAAGATGCAGACTCCTCTTTGGTAATTGTTGCGTCCCCATCGTCAACAGCATCGACAAGTTCCATTATTCTAGTTGGTGAGTCCACGGATTCACTCTCGTCTAAGGTCACAATGCTCGTGCCGAACGACATGTTGGACGACATTGCCGTTGAGTGGACGTGGTCGTTCCTTGATGCAGGGTCGATGGTCATGTCTTGAACATCTGACAATCGGTCTGACTGCAGGGAGTCTGTAGACCGGGGTAAGTTTAAGCTGTCGGTACGAACTGGACGCTTTCCCAATTCTGAGGAAGAGCCGACGCGAGGAAGGTGCCATTGAGAACCTTCGTGTTGCATTTCTTGCTCTTCATGCTGCCATTCCACTCGACGGTTGTTCTCGTCGTTCTCTTGTGGTGACACAGCTTGAAGCTCAAGTGACAAGGATGCTGGGGCGTCGACCACCCCTTCATCACTTCTTCGTGTGTCGTCCGTACCTGCACCTACTGCTATTGACGTGATCTGGTGTGCTAATGTATCAAGGCCGGCGTCCGAAGCTTCTGAAAACTCCAAGTCTCCAGTTGAAGTATTATCGACCATCACTTGAGATTCGATTTCTGACTCTGCTGTCTCCGCCAATATTGATGCCTCGTCGTTGCATTTGAGGTGTTCCACGTTAATAGTTTCTTGTTCTTCGCACGGCTGGGCTTGCTCCTCTACTTCGGTTGTATCAATCGCAGATTTGGTACTTGGTGACCACATTTTGGCTTCCTCAAAACTACCAGCAAGATGGGCTGTATCTGCGGTTGTAGGTTCTCCGCCGACAACCACGGTGAGCTGGTTATTCGCAGAATATCGGCGAACTGGTGCCGTTCCTGAGTCAGTTTGTGTATCGGCAGCTGCTTTATGAGCTGAGTCTTCATCCTCCTGTCGTTCTATCGGCAATTCCTCGACATTCGCAGCATCGACTGTTGCTACCTGCCCACTGCTCTCAATGTCCCTCGGTTGATTTGCGTTCATCAAAGCCCCAAAACTTGCCATTGCCTGTCGAACCAGCCCTTGACTGATCTCGGATCTTACCCGGGTCTCTGCTTTAAACCGCTCCAGCGCTTGCTGACGCGTCTTCTCCATTGGTATCCACTCCTTCTCGATTATCGCGTTAACGGCATTTTCACACTCCACCATCCGTGACAATACATCAGTGGGCAACACTTCCAAGTGGCCATGTAGAGCCTGCTGGACGATCTGCAAATTGCCCTCGGATAAGCGAACACTCTTCGGCGGAACACCAAACCGACTCGAAAACTGCTCAAGTTGCGCCAGACAACTGGAAACACGCTCTTTCACCACACTCTCGTCATGCTGGAAGCGACTACGAACGTATTTATGTCGAGAAATCGAGCTGTAATTTCTTGACTCTGGTGCAGGATTCAATGCTGCTTTGCTTGCCGCGCTGGTGAGAGAACAGTCACAACAAGCGAATGGTTAGAACGCGATCTTTAGCCTAGCTTTGCACACAATGATATGGTTACCTATCAGCACGTTCGTCGATAGTGTCCAGAAGATCTTGGCTGTTAATTCGTTGGATGCAGTCTGGAAGGCGTTCTTCATCGTCCCGCTTAGCTAATTCAGAGGAGGTTACCTTCTCGTCAACACTGACGTCGACCGTTGCTGAATCATCCAGTATCTGCACGGTTGCTGCTGGGCTAGATGCCGGTTCATGTTCTAAAACTAGGTCATCTATTATGCTCACCCGCGCCTCAGCATCTACCGAAGGCTCTGATTCTTGCGAGATACCAAGCGTTTGAATACCCACATCTTCGTAACTCAAAGTCAACGGATCTGTCCCCACATCCGCACACTCTGGAGCACTTGACTCAGTTAACTTCACGTTTTTAACAGGAAGAGGACTACTCTGCTCGTCCGTCTGCACGGTCTCATTGATCATAGCATGTTGCTCCGTTTGTGAACTGTTTTCTTGCTTTACAACAGGTGAGGGTTCGCGTGACAATGCCAACTTATCAGCTAGCTCCTTCTTCTTCCTTAGAGCGGACAAGTGCAATGCCTGAACCTGCGTCAGTTCTTCTCTTGCCAATGCCAGCTCTGCATTCACAGCATCGAGAGTTTGCTGTAACTCTCTGATCTCCATCTCCGCCGCGATTAATGCATCATTATTATTCGCCGGTAAGGTAGCAGGCACTACAGCTTTAGTCGGAGTTCTCATCATTTTCTTTTTCGATGTAAGAAAATGGATCTGCTGCTTCAGATCCGCCAGCTCATCCTCAGCTTTCTGCTTCTGTAAATTGATTTCCTCTAGTTGTCGCAGTGACTCTTGCTGTTGTTCAGCTGCCAGGCGACTAATTCGCATTTCCTCTGCTCGTTGCGTTTCTGATTGTAATCGCTCATACATTTGTTTAACTTTTTGTGTCTCTTCTTCGGCAAGTGAACGTAGCTTCTCTTCATGGTCGTGCAGTGCTTTTTCTACTTGCTGCACCATCTTCTGCATCGCGGCTTCAGACGCCGCCGAGTCCTCATTTTTCGCCTTAGTTTCCCTCACTTCTTCATAAAGTTGCTGCATTTTATGCTTCACCGGTATTTCCACGTTAACACTCTCTCCTCCATGTCTCCTCACCAGATGCTTCTCTAGATACTCAGCCGACGAGAATAATTTCCCACAATACCCACACACGCGAGCTTCTTGCACTGCAGGCCTCACGTTTGCTATCTCTTCATCGTTTTTCTCCATCAATGCTCGGCTCTTTTGCTTCGCTCGTCTCTCCGATATCAGTTCTGTTAACAGCGTCTCGATCGTTGCCACCGCCGACGGTGAAGCTCTAAATGACACAACAACAAGACAATAAACATTAACCACACGCTAAAAAAATGTCTAAAAACGCCACAACAATTACCCGTGAATCTGCAGTAGCTTGGCAATATTTTGCAGCACTTGGTGCAGTTTGTCGACCTGCTTGTCACCGCTACGAGCCCTTGCCTTCCACTTCTGGGTACTCACCACCAGCTCATCTCTCTCCTGCTCCACCTGCCGCAGCTCCTGACTCAGCGACTCCAAGACGTCGCCATCTCTCGCTCGCATATAGAGCAGATATTCCATTGCCAACTGCAGGACGCGCACAAGGAACCAGGCGTCGCGCGTTGTGGAGTCTTTCAACGTACTGGGCAGTCGTGCAAACGTTATGTGAAGCGCATACGGCTCCAGCACGGCCGGATCTCCTCGACGCACCACATTGGACACGTCCAAAGCTCCTAGAAACCGCCAGTTGAGCTTCTCGCTGCGCTCCCGCCAGCAGAACCGCCGCATACCCGCAAGCCAGTTGAAGAATAAGGCAAGATATCTGACATCCTGTACGGTGATGTGATTGGCTGAGCGATGTTGATGTATCCATATCAAATTCATCCAATCAAAAGTATTGCAAAAATGTTTTAAAAATATTTATGCATAAAAAAGACTGGTGAGACCATTTTTAACAAGCAGTTTGCGGCACAACTGCAGACCCCCAGGGAGGTCGAGCCTGTTTCAACTTCTTCTCCAGCAGCTGGTTGGGCGAGCAAATGTTATATATACATACTATTCTGACTTAAACGAAGCCTTGGATGCTTGCTAGTCTTATCAATACATTAGTACTGGAGGTGCGAACCCACAAGTGCACTTGAAACGCTTGTTTTGGCGAAGAATCATCGTTTTGGCTGGTGCAGGAGTTAGATAATGTAACGTGGAAAGTGTCCTAAACAGATTGCCTGATTCTTGATATTTGAACTTAGTACATGCAACGAGTTGAGGGGGAGATGCTATCGACAGCGAGGATCGAGATGTAGACAGGCGGGATCGGCTGCTTCAGTGTACACGAACAAGCCATAATTACCAAATGTTGTAACTACTTACTACCATCCAACGCTGACAACCATTCGTCGCGTCGTTAGTGTACTGAGTCGCTTGGGCACCCGCCCGTCTGCCAAACATCACCAAGACACGGTGGGTAGACATGGACGAGCAAACTTCACGCTAATCCGTCCTAATTGCTTCGTTGAATGGCTCGCCAACCGCAGCATTAACGCCATGGTTTGTGCAACACAACCGTGTTCAGTGGAGCAATAATGCAGTAATGCAGGGTTTGTGTTAACAACACGGATTTTGCAGTTTATAGGGCATCTCACATACAATAATTTGATCTGACCAAGTGGTCCAAACTTCCGGCCACTTATCCCATACTAATATCAAGACAAGTGAGACGAAATGCTTTTACACTACCACATGCACCACTCGGCTTACTGTCCAACCATGACTTTGGTGGGCGGCGCGGCGCTTTTATGGGCCCCTTGCATTTGCGTTCCATTCTGCTTTTGGCCAGGGCATACCAACGTGGCTGAGCGACGAGGAGAGGGGGCGCAATCTAGGACTCTTTGAGGGAGGGCTATACATCCGAGACATTGCAAAGAAGATCAAGAGATCACGTGACGCTGTCGTACGCGCTTTGACTGGAGGCCGTCGGGACCGACGCAAACCAGGGCGGAAGCCCGTTGTTTCTGAGCGACTAGCGCGCTTACTTCTACGTAAAGGCAGTGGCGACTACTCCGCAGCTCAGCTCAAGATCGAGTGTAAGTGCCAGTGCTCTACACGTACCTTTATATTCCTCCAGTAGTGCTGAAGGAGATCCGAGCCGTCCAGATTGAACTTTTTCTCATCAGAAAAAATGATGCTGCACCAATCAGCTTGGGGTGTGACCACCATGTGCTTTTCCCATGCTAGACGGTGAGCCTTGCGCGCCGATGTGAGCGGCAGCGTGTTCTCCATATTGGCATAGATTAGCCAATCTACACCAGAAAGGATCCGCCGGCGTCGACGATGAGGTGATAAAACGGAGGCCGGTCCGTGATGGTTTGGGGTGGTTTCAGCGTCAAGTGCAGGACGAAGCTTGCGGTACTGGTGGGTCGACAGGCGTCGGCACACTATGTACATACTGTGTCGGATTTTTTGCTACCTTATGCTCACCTCAATTATGGAACCGATTTCATCTATCAGCAGGATAATGCTTCGATCCATGCTTCCAGGGAAACCAAGGAGTTTTCGACGAGCAGAGTATCAAGATACTTGCCTGGCCTGCACGCTCTCCTGATCTAAACCCCATAGCAAATCTGTGGGCGTTACTGGGGCGGAAGGTATATCCTAACGGTAGGCAGTACGCAAATGTGAATGAGCTAACTACTGCTATCTTAGCTGCCTGGGGCAGCATTGAGCATTCGACGCTAGCGACGCTGATTGAGTCCATACCACGACGCTGTATTGAAGTGGTCGAGAAGAAAGGAGGAAAGACGCATTATTAATACAATCATTTCGCCACACTTTTTTGATACTAGTAAAGGATAAGTGGCCGGAATTTTGAGCCAACCAATGGACGTTGCTGTGATAAAGGCTTTCAATAACGCCTTCCGGTAAGTTATATTGTTTACTGTCAATTTGTAATTGTATTAACGTTTTGTTTTTGCTATCTCGCTTTTAACAAAAGGAAATATTATACGTTACCTACCATGTATATAACCTCTTTCCAGCTTCATCATCTGAAAAGAGAGCACTACTGTCACGCTTCGTTGTTGAAACGTGGAAACGCGTCGAGATCGACACAATTGTCAATGGGGTTTGCAAGATCGGGGATCATTCCGACCGGGTCGCGTGATTAATTGGGTTGTTTCCGGGTTGCTGACGTCGTCACGGATGCACCTTTGGTGCAAAGCGAGTAAACCAAACCTATTAGATAATGCTAAATACTTGTTTTCTTTGACTTTCATAATGTTTTTATTTTTTAATATTCATCATAAATATGTATTCAGTACTTGTACGAGAGGTGACTTCATCAAGAAAGATTACATGCTGTATTTTTTTTTGCCTGTGAGGGTGTTTTTACGACTGTCGCATTGAATCCGTTTGTCTTACTGAATACGGGTTTTGCGGTATGTTAAACTGCACGTAAAAAGGCAACACTGGTGATGGAGAGTAGTTTACCTTTTTCTGAGAGCATATTTTAGGGTGGGTAGTAGATTCCCGTTTCGTCGATATTGCAAACGAGCCCTGCATCCCAAGAACCACATTTGGTGTTGAATGTTTTCGCGAACTCGTCTCGAACGGTTAGCAGAGCTTGCAGTTTTTACAAATTACAGCCTGTAAGC